GTCGCTGACTCCCTTGGCCGACTCATGCTCTGAAAGCCCATGCTCGACCACACTCCACGTAAACACCCTAATTCACCCGCTTGCACTCTGACAAGCCACATTAGAAAGTCCACAAATGTGGGTGCCCTCTTCTCTCCTCCTAGGTTCTGCTTCTTACACCATATCAGTCCCATGGGGGAACAGTCCTTTCCACTCTCCGCAAACTGATTCCACTCCAGGGTGCCTTCATGCTTGGCTTTTCCCTTATTCCAGTTAAGCACGCCCACCCAGAACAGCTCCTCTCCACGGACACCTACCTTCCTCTGCACCACATGATGACTCCAAAAGAGATGGGGAGCAAAGGAAAGGGAAAAGGAACAGGGAAGGGTGAAAGAAGAGACAGACTTGGTTTTGAGAAGTAAAATATGAAAGATGAAGTTGAAGTCTCCTTTGTATTCCTCTATGATCTCATTCACCTTTATTTCTGCCCAAGGATATTGCTATCCTATGTCTATATTTCTCCTTTTCATGTAGGACTTTCTGCTACTACTGTATATCTATATGATTATCCATAAACATAATTCAAACTACAAATAATGTATATCATTCTGCAGCTTACTGGGTTTTGCTCAATACTGTGGTGTTAAAGTGCATGTTGTTAATATATGCAGCGCCAAGTCTTTCACTTAAACTGCAGTATAGGCATATGTATTGCATAATTTTTATTTATTCCATTTTCTATTGATAGGCATTCAATAAGTCCCACTGGCATCTGTAGTTTCTGATGAAAAACACTATCATTCACATTGGTGGTTCCCTATAAGTAATGTGTCATTTATCTCTCACTGCTTTCAAGAATGTTTTATCCTTAGTTTTTAGTTTAATTATGGTGTGTCTTGGGTTTGTTTTTTCAGGAGGTTTGCTCAGCTTCTCAAACCTGTTGATTTACATCTTTCTTCAAATTGGTTTATCTTCAGCCGATATTTCTTTGAATATTCTATCAGCTATACTGTCTTCCACCTTCACTTCAGGGAATCTGATGATACATATCAAAAATGAGACACATACGAGTATTATTTCTCTAAAGTCTATTTTCTTTCTGTGGTTCAGATTGGGTGAATTCTATTGATGTGTCTGCAATTTCATCTCCATTCTGTTATTGAGCCCATCCAACCAGTATTTTTTTTCTAATTTCCGTTATTATATTTTTCAGTTCGGCAATTTCCATTTAGTTCTTTCCACTTGTACTTCTTTGCTGATAATTTTCTCTTCTCTTGTTTCAAGAAAATTTGTAATTGCTTGTAGAAGCATTCTTTGAGGAATGTCTTAAAATCATTGTCAGATAACTCCAACATCTGATTCATCGCAGCACTGTTACCTTTTTCAATTTGTGATTTTCCAGGATCTTGGTGTGATAAAAAAATTTCTATTTGAACCTGGACATTTTAGGTATTACATTTTTAAGGTCTGGATTTTATTTATGTCTTCTGCTTTAGTAGGCCTCCACTGACATTGCTATAGCAAGCAAATGAGGGGAAGGACTCTGCATTATTAATATCAGGTTGGAGAGGGGGTCCCCCAGGCCTTCTCTGACAGCACTTTAGCAAACAGGGGGGAATGGTGTCTTATTACTCTCAAATGGTGTTGAAAATCCACGCTTCCTATATGGCTTCCATTGCCACTGAGGAGAGAAAAGGGGCAGGGGCGGGGGAGGAGGGAGATGATTGTTACTGCCTGGTAAAGATGAAAGGTTCAGCTTTTCAGCAGTCAGTTTCTCTGACACTACCCTGGCAGGGAAGGTTGGGCATCTTACTACAGTTTATTACAGAGTGGAATGCTAGATGCCCCACTCAGCTTTAGCTGCTGTGGGTAGGGATGGAGCCACACTTTTGTCTGTGGTGTTGGCTGGATTGAGCAGTTATTGTCTAAGAATTTTCTATCTTTCTAGGCGGCCCTTTTCCTGGTCCTTTGGCTGAACAGAGTAGGCTTTACTTGGGATTCTTTTTGTTTGCACTCACTGGCTTTTCTGGGTTACCAATTTCTCCAGTGTTCAGTCTAGGATATAGGAGGCAAAAAATATATAAGGAAGTTGTCTCAGGTTTTAAGGTCCCTCATTGGCCTTCCTTCTCTTTCAGAGAAGATATTGTATTCTTCTTATGTTTGCTGTATATATAAAGTGCAAGGTCTAGCTGTACTTAATGGAGGGAATAAGGAAAAGTTTATTCTACACTACCTTAGCAGAAGTCCTCATCTTTTAGTTATCAACTTCTTGTTTATTTCCCTTATGATCTGCATTAAGCTCCTAGTGCTGCCGTTAACATTCCCCAAAACTAGGTGGCTTAAAACAACAAAAATACATTGTATCATACTTAACACTGCAGAATTGTACACTTAAAATGTTTTTTTTTTTTAAAATATATTTATTTATTTATTTATTTATTTATACAAACACTGGGCACAGTCAGAAGCATGGGAGGATGAGAGAACTCACCAGAGCCAGAGCAGGGAACACAGCAGGCAGACTGACGAAACACACTGCTGAGAGGAGCAGTGGGCATGGCAGGAGAGGTCTGCGTGCCATGTGGGACCCTCGCTGGTGGCCGGGGATCGAACCCGGCGCTGCAGAGGCTGTGGGCAGCTTTGCAGCCCAGCGCTCAACTCCTGTGCCACCAGGGGAGGTCCTGTACACTTAAAATATTTAAGATGGTACATTTTATGTTATGTGTTGTTTTAGCACAATAAAAGCATGTATTTAAAAACAACATTAAAAAACATGGGGACAAAGCACAAACTGGACAGTCAGGTGCAGTCTCAGCCCTTATTGTGTTTACAGTTGTAAACTAAGGTGCCCCTCTCCATAATCCCAACTAAAGACTGTAAGACAAGGGTGAGGATGTGAACTGCTCCTATCCTTTAAAGAACCTGCCTAGGAAAAATGTTGTCTTTGTGAAAAAAGAAGTGTTTTTGGAAACTTCTGCCTCAAGACAAGTCACTTACTTCAAAGAATGTCAACTCCGATGTAACATGGCTAAAACTCCCAGTTCCCAGAAGATAAAGCTCTAAATAAAGAGGGTAAATTTTAGAAGTCTTCTCCGTGTTCCTTAATGCATAAACATCAAATAGGTACATTAGCCAGACACCTGCCCAGATCCTTGAAATGTTTCCTGTGCAAATTGTGTAAAATCCTCATTGAAAAGCTCAAAGTTCGGGCAGATTGCCCAGAGCTATCTGGAGGCTGTTTCTGGGCTCAACTCCTGAGTCTTTATTCTTTAATAAACTCACTTAATTTTTGCTTGCCTCAAATTATTTAAGTCAACAGTCTAGTGAGCTCCTTGGTGGCAGGGTCTATATTCTATTCACTGTTGTATCCTCAGCACTCCACAAAGTGTCTGACATAAAATATGGTCTCAAAAAAAAATGTTGGCTAGCCAAATGAGAAGGTAGAAAGAAATAGAAGAATGGGAGGGAGAGAAGTCAGATATAGATGGAGATGAAATAGCCTAGGTTAATTAAACAGCAAGCTTGAGGGAAGGAGATGATTTGTTTTAACAACCTGGGAGTTACCTAGCCTTCTGCTTTAAAGCTGCAGCTGGCAGAGCAGTTACCTTGCACCCAGCTTCTAACAGATGGATTGTATCATAGCTAGCAGTAATCATTTAACATATTGTTTTAACAACCTTGAGACATCCTACCAGATTAACAAATAGTCACATTTTCACAGTGTGTTCCATCTTGGTGCCAAACCTTAACAAAAGTTACCATATATTTTGGTCAAAGTTGCTTGAACAATTAATTGTCATGCCATATTCTGGAAGATAGATGGGTAGTTAGCCAGGGCCTCGACCAAAATGTGACCTTAGGCTGATAGCATGTTAGAGCATACACTCCTAGGTGGAGATTTTGGATGCCAACAAGTCACGTAAAGTATGAAGAACCACACAGCTCTTCTATGGAAGCCCCAATATAGCCTTGGCCCCAAATACTTCAGTGTTGCTTTCCTTTACCTCATCCTGGTAGAATGGCAATTTTATTTTCTTTAAAGATTTATTTATTTATGCACCTGAGAGCTGGGGTACAGGCCAGAGGTGAGAGGGTGAGAGGTTTCACCAGAGACAGAGCAGGGAGCAGAACAGACGGATTGACTGAAATACACTGCTGAGGTGAGCAGCAGTCGAGATAGGAGAGGTCTGCCACGCCATGTGGGTTGCTCCCTCGCTGGCCGGGTATCGAACTTGTGCTGCACAGGCTGCAGATAGCTTCACAGTGCTGTGCTTAACACCTTGCACCACCAGGGAGGCCCCTAGACTGGTGATTTTAAAAGCCCTTTTTCAATTCTTCTGGGGAGTCAACTTGGGAAACTTTGTTTTTCAACCCTGACTCCTGTACGTTAGAGTGTAAGTGTAACAACGCCTTGTCTAGATTCCCTCTGTCTTCCCTTCTTGTTAAATTCTTTTACAAGGAGTTAGAAACTGCAAGGAGAACCTTGAGTTCTGTAACAGAGAACCCAAGACAAGAAAAAGGAAGATGAGGGAGGAAATCTTTGAGCCCTGAAAAAATACCAGCGTGCCGTAAGCGGGACCTTGGGATCGGCATGCCTAGGAGAAAGTGGATCCCGGCACAGTGTCTACAAAGGCGGCAGATGTGGAAAGCCAGGGCATTGGCACTAGTACAACTCATTGACACGAGCTGAAAAGAAAGCATAGCTGCTGAAGTCAGCTAACCACTGACAAAGGTTGATACACTATGGTTTAGTTTAAACCAGTGGTGTTGATCTCAGAGAGATTAAAAAAAAAAAAAAAAGCTCAATTGTGAATCTCACACCTAGCTTTCTAGATACCTTTCCCAATTCCGCGGCACTTGAACCGCGAAGCTTGGGTTCTACGCATGCGCCAAAGGCTCATGGAAACAACGCGAGAGGTCGCCGCTCCCCTCCTCTTCTTGGAGGGCGACGCCAGTTACTGGAGGCGCCTTTTGAACACGTCACACGCCTGGCCGTAATGCGCCATTGTGGGGGGCGTGGCTTAAGGACGCGTTACCCTGGCGACCACTTTGTTGTCCTCGGCCAGACTCCTGTTGGACGTCCAGCTGTAAGGTGGTGCGTGAAGAATAGAGGTGAACACGGTTTTGCTGCTCCAGCCCCCGGCCCCCCTGGGGGCTGACGGGCGGCCATGGAGCTGTACCTCAGTAACTGCAGTAAGACTGCTCAGGCCGCAGCCAGTAAAGCGGCTGCCAGCAGCCTAAATGCCAAGAAGGAACAGTGCGAAACCGTGAGTGGCTGCCGATCCGCCGTCCTTTTCATCCTGATCTCTGGGCGGGATCTTGGGCTGCCAGAAGGAGCAGCGGGGCGGAGATCTCAGAAATGGGGAGGGGAAAAGGGCGGGTTCATGATGCCTCAACATCCATCTCCTAGGCCCAGGGCAACTAATGGCTAAGACTGCCTCTGGCGAGCCTCTCATTGGGTGGGGCCCAGAAAGAGGGTTGGTGACTTGGGTGAGCTGGGAGGGCTTTGTTGTCAGCGGGACGGGTTCTTTCCACCCCGAGTGTGATTCTTGGTTTAGTTTGGAAGTATTACTCCGTGGAAGTGTGGGTAGGTTGGTCTACACTAAATGAATAGTTCCTGAAGAAAAAACAAACTTTCTAATTTTATTTGACAGAGCTCGCCCAAAAAACCCGTTCCAGAAGTTCCAGAAGTAGGAGCTGCTAATCTTTTAGATCTTCCTCTTGGCGTCAAATTTCCTGTTATCCCAGGAAGCAATAATGTATTCTATACTACAAATTTAAGTGAAAAGGTAAACTAGGTTTTAATAGTGCTTAACTGACTTTATCCCTTTCAGCTTGATGTTAAGCTTGAAATACTGCTATGAATTGCTTGGAGTCAACTTCAACGTCACCCGCCAGATAAATGAGTAAAAGTGTGTAGTGTCATTATTCCCTCACCCTTTCTTTTAGTTTCAATGAGCAGTCTAAACGTTTCAACAAATTGATTTTTAAAAGTGTGATTGCTTTCATTTTGCATGTGTAATATTTTTTAATCTGTATTTACAGCTTTATCAACCTTCTTATGATTTTAACCTGTCTGATCCTTATTGTCAACTTTTGGAAACCAACTACAAAAGCCTGCACGATCCTCACTTAAAATCATACTATAGGCGTAAAGATATCCTGAGAAGATTAAAGAAAGATGGCTACATCACCAGCAATAATAAAGTGCGTTGCAGCCTGTTTCCTATTAACTAGCAAAAGCCTAGGGACTTGATAGACACTGGCTTCTGTACTTCACTGAGAGCCTATATTAACTTTTAGTTGAGCAATAAAGGGTACCTAATAGAAAACAAAATGAATTACTATGTATTTGGGTAAAGAGAACTCGTGCAGCTATTATTTCTAAATGAACCTGCTCTAGTTCCCACTTGAACTTTCCTCATCAAATGATTTGACACACATATCCTAATTTAAATATTTTCTCCTTGGTGCAGTGTCTTTCCTCTGGCTCTAAAGGTAATAATGGCACTGAATACCTGTCAAGGAATATTTCTTATACCTTTGAGAAGCCTAGAGACAAAAGGAAACCCAGTAGAATATAGCATGATAGAATAAATTCTTTGGGTGGGGTTAAATGACATTATTCTCTTGCTGTTTTAATAACAAATTCATTAGGAATAATAAAGACCTGATTATCCATATTATTGAACTAACATTATTCAAATAGAAATTTCCTGGTGATATAGCAATTACAGAAAGGTACTATCTTCTAAATTGTTACCAAAATATGCTATTATTACTCTTGATGGCAAAATTGTTACAAAAATGAATGTTCTTATAATGCTCTTCTCTAGAAAGTTTTCTGACTGTTACAACTTTCTATATATTTGAGTTTTGTGTTATGTTTTCATAGGTTGTATGTACCTTGAAGGAACTGAATAAATACCGGCATTATCTGACCAGTTTAAAATTAGACTTTGAAAGAAATTATATAAGAGAACAGGTAAGTTAAATGCTTAAATTTGTCTTATTTGGGGCCTGTAAGTTTTTATGTAGGATTTGAAAGAAAGATTTGGTCTTCTGCAGAATATCTTCTAACCTAGAAGTAGACCTAGAAGTATAAAGGTAACAAATAAGCTACCTATAGATCTATAAGAGATAAACATGAGACCTTTGCCTTTCATTTGGAGAATTTTTCCATTGTCTGGAATGGAGCCACCCTAGACTTAAATGCAGGTTAACAGAATTAACCACTTGTAAAATATTGCAAGTTTCCCAAGCCCTCAATGAGAAGGCATATCAAAGGGTAGGTTTATCTCTGACCAGTATAAAAACTCCAATTCTCTTTTTCCTCTCAGAAAAATATTGAAAAAGAAGTAAATAAATACTATGAAACCAAGAGAGCCTCTAAACCTGGAAAGTCACAGTTCCACGAATGGTTGTTACAGGACCGTGCACGAGCAAACCCAGAGCAAGAGCTATTATTAAAGAACAGGTATGATCAAAGTTATGCAGATTTTACAGACATGTTGTGGGCCCCAGAAAGTTGTAAATGTACTAGGAAGAACTGAAAGCAGGGTAAAATAATTAGACACTATTGAACTCCCTATTCTTCAACATGGAAAGAAACGAAAGGAGGTGAAACAGTAACAGTTTGGGAGTTTTTGATACCCAGGTTAGGGAGGAGAGTTTCTACCTGAGAATTTGGAGTCTCTAGGAGCCTAAGAGGTAAGCCAAACTGAGATTTGAAGGAAAAGTCCAAAAGCAAAAATCCCCAAGGTCAGGAAACCCAAGTCCATGGTAACAGGAGAGCTCATTTTAGACTTTAAAGTTTTAAGGAAATTACTGCAAGGTGGAAGTGGGAGAGTTGATATAACTTTATCTGATGCTAATATAAACAGGTGGTATTCCCAGCCATGTATGTTCATTCATTCAGCTATTACCCTTACACATTCAGTGTTATCTTTGGGAGGACAAGTCCATGCCCCAGGTGACAAAGACATCAGTTAGGGTACTTTCTCTTTCTTCATGGGGCCACTTTCCCATCACCTGGCTTTTATATTCCATGGACTCATGTCATGATACATCAGATTACATACTTATCCAATAGCTCCAGCCTGGTCATCTGCAGACCTATATGCGGGTCTGCAGGAGAGGTCATTCAAGGACTTGGGAATTATATAGAAGCCCACTAATTTTTAAAGGCAGTTGTTGTTTTTTGAAGTCAGTCCTTAGGTTGATTTTTGCCGTCATTGGAAACTTATTCCCAAAACAACCAAGTTATAAATAATCTCCTGTAAGATGTTTTTAAACTGTTCTACATTTAACCACAGTAGCAGAGAGACTTACTTTTATAACAGAGAGTATGGTAACCTGAGTAGTGTGGTGAGTTGGTAGACCAGGCTAGCTTAAAGTTCCCTGAAAAACTGTATTTCCTGTAGTTCATACAGAAGCAACCCAAGGTAGTTTGGGGATATCAAAGTAGATAACAGGGGAAACACTCCATTTATCTTCATTTCTATTTACACTTTTATTTAGGTATGTAGATATGATTGATAAAGAACTACTCAAAGCTGAGCACATTGCGGAAAGTCAAAGTACAGGCCGTATCAAAAAAGAAGAAAAACGACTTCGAGAGCATATTAGAAAAAAACTTAATCTCCGTAAAAAAATTGAAACGGTGAGAAGCACTGAATGGTGGTTATTCATAAACATTTCTAGCATACCCACTATATTACCTGAAGTTACTTCAGCTCTAAAAATAAATCATTGTTAAAAACAGTAATCATCTTGAATATAATTAACCACTGCTAATCTTTCATCACTGTTATAATAGACCAGTTTTTACTTAACATAGTAAGATTGATAGCACAAATAATATATCTGTTGAATTACAGTCAGAGCTCATTTGGTCTTAGTTTTAGAATTTAACTCTAGCAAGAAAATAATGGCTCCATTCTCACTCTTCGAAGTTCAGAGAAGGCTTTTTGTTTAGCTTCTCTGTCAAAATGCATTTAAGGACAGCATGTTACATATGCTACACACCCCATAGTCTATAAGACAAAACCCTCTTGCCAGAATCTTTTTAGATCCACCTTTGGAGCCAGGCTTATTCTTGAATTAAGTTTCCAGTAGCAAAATAGTTTCCTTCCATTTGGCATTCATTGCACCCACCAACACATTCCCAATAAAAAACAGGAAAATATGCCCATTCTAAAGCCAGTAAAGGATTTTCATTATCGTTGACCAAATTTCCTTTAGGCCCTTGAGTTGATCTAATTTGCTTATTCACAATATACCCCCAAAAATATTATGAAAGAACATCAGTTGATTATTGTAACATTTTGCCCCTTAGGAATGGAAGACAAAAGAAATGTTACTGCTGAAAAAGATTGGGGAAGAAGTGAAAAGAGAAGCAAGAATTGAGGAACAACGTCGAAAAATCAGAGAAGCAGCTGACCAAAAGGTAGAGTGAGCTTTTACCAGTAACATAGGTTATTTGAGGAAAGGGTTTCTTTTTTGCCAATTCTGATATTTTTAAGCATGAATTGTTAGAACTGGCCTACACTCACAAAGATAACCATGGCTAAAGAGATTTAGTCTGGTCTGAACCTGGATATCAAGGGCTGGTCTTAAAAAGGACCAGTCTCCTGAAAGTGGGCACTGGGTTAACTTGGATCTCATTGTTAAGAGATATCTTATTCTTGCTAGGGACACTTACCCTTATTACTTTCCTTGAATAGGAATGAAGGCTCCCTTCCAGTATTCTGTCATATTTGAAATCTCTACATTTCCAGTAGCAAGTTATAATACATTAAAAAATATATTAAATACACATTTTTTAATATTTTAGAAACAAGAACTTCTGGAGAAAAAACTTGCTTATCATTTACAAAAAATGCGAAGGAAAGGCGATGAGAAAGAAGAATCAGAGAAAATCATCTTTGAAAATGATGAAATAAGAGGTAAGAGAGAGACAGTAAAAGACAAAACCACTTAGTAAAAGATGTATATCTGTATATTAAACATTGGCACTCGTATTAAATATTGGCACTTAGTAAAACCCCTCCATGTGCTTATATAGTGATATCACAAGGCCCTGGCAAAGGAAGATCCTAGAAGCTCACACTGCCTGTGGCAGGCACTGTGCAAGGCACTTCCCAGTTACAACTCAAGGTGTAAAGAATGTGTCCACACACACACTACATCATAAAAAATCAAATGCTTCTATCACACACACACTACATTATAAAAAAAAAATCAAACGCTTCTATAAAGTAGCTCAGTGATAAGACTACCTATACTACAGGTTTAAAAAGGAGCCAGTACCAAAAAAAAAAAAAAATAGAAAGCAAAAGACAGAAATACAGAGGGAGAGAAAAGGATCCAACAAGAGAAAACATCACCCCCCCCAAAAAAAAATAAACTAAAACAAAGAGGGAAGCAGTGAAAGAAAAATAGAAGAAAAAATTTTACTCAGGGCGATAAGAAATAATTATACAAAACAGACAGGGAGAGAAAGTTAGTGAGAAAAAAAACAGGTTTTTTTTTTTTTTTGAGGGGAGATAAGAGAGACTTACTTAGACAGGTAAGAGACATTTAAAATATACCAAGCAAGAAACAGCAATAGAAAAAGCAAGGAGAACGCAGTTAAGAATGAGATGGAACGAGGAGAAGAAAAAATCCAATAGAAGGCAGTAAGAAAAACTGGATGAAGGAATGGGAAGGAGGCAAAGGCAGAGAAGCAAATAAAAGACAGGGAGAAGGAGGGAGAAAAGAGCAAAGAAAGGAGCAAAGAAAAGAGTGAAAGAATGAGAGCAGGGCCTCCCTGGTGGCGCAGTGGTTGAGCGCTGGGCTGCAAAGCTGCCCACAGCCTCCAGCGAGGGTCCCACATGGCGCGCAGACCTCTCCTGCCGCCCGCTGCTCCCCTCAGCAGTGTATTTTGTTAGTCTGCCTTTTCTGTTCCCCACTCTGGCTCTGGTGAATTCTCTCACCCTCCCGCACTTCTGACTGTACCCAGTGCTTGTAAATAAATAAATAAATCTTAAAAAAAAAAAAGAATGAGAGCAGGAAGAAATACAGAAAAAATACAGAGGGAAAGAGGGAAGACGTTTAAAAAGAATAAAACCAGTAAGAAAAGAGACAGGAGAAAAAGAATGAGAGTTGAGAGAGGAATTTGAAACAAAGATGAGCCACTGAGAGAGAGAGAGAGCTGGATGATATAGATGGATATATAGATAGAAGATAAATGGATGATAGACATATAGACAGGTAGATGAATGATGCAGATGATAGCAAGATAGGTAGATGATAGATAGATAGATAGATAGATAGATAGATAGATAGATAGATAGATAGATAGATAATAGATGGGGATAGCTGTATTATAGATACATAGATGATACCTTGATGACAGATCAAAGATAGATATGCAGACAGACAGATATGAGTGATGTCTGATAGACAATAGATAGCTGATAGGGTTAGATTGAAAATAGATAGATAGATAGATAGATAGATAGATAGATAGATAGATAGATAGATAGATAAACAGAGACAGGTATATGATAGTTACATAGATAATGTTATGAGAGCTAGATGATAGATACATGACTGATGGATGGATGATAGTTAAATAGGTAGATGACTGATAGGTGGATGATACAGATTGATAGATAAGAGATAGATGAATGATAACTGATAGGTGATTAATAAATGAGAGATAGATGGATGATAAAGACAGACAGATGGATGATAAATGGGTGTATACATTATAGATAGTTGAACAAGAGAGATAGATAAGAGAAAGAGACGTGGATGAGAGATATATGATTGATGATAGATTATAGATAGATAAAAATAGATACATAGATGGCAGATGGGTGCTAGATGGTAGATGGATGACAAAGATGAATAATTGATATAGATACATGGATAATGGAGAGACAGATGAATGATAGATGATAGGGGAATGGAGGGATGGATGATATAGATAGATGGATGATAGATGGTAGATGCATGACAGAGATAGATGGATAATAGATGACAGGTGGATATAGATAGATAATGGAGAGAGAAATAGATGGGTGGCGGGAGATAGATAGCTGGGTGATACAGATGGATGATAAGATAGAAGATAAATGGATGATAGATAGACAGGTAGATGAATGAGATAGATGATAGAGAGATAGGTGGAAGATAGGTAGGTAGGTAGATAGATTGATAGGGATAGATATATGATAGATACATAGATGATACATAGCTGATAGATGAAAGATAGATAGGCAGACAGACAGATATGAGAGATATATGATAGACAACAAAAAGCTGTTAGGGTTAGATGTATGAAATATTGATAGATAGATAGATAGATAGATAGATAGATAGATAGATAGATAGATAGATAGATAGGTTGGTAGATAGATAACAGATAGGTTTATGATAGTTACATAGATAATGGATGATAGGTGATAAATACATGGCTGATGGATGGATCATAGTTAAATAGATAATTGATAGGTGGATGATAGAGATTGATAGATAAGAGATACATGAATGGTAGTTGATAGATGATTACTAAATGAGATATAGATGGATGATAAAAATAGATGGATGATAGATGGGTGGATGAGATATATGATTGATGATATATTATAGATAGATAAAAGTAGATATATAGATGGTAGATAGATGGTTGATAGATGGTAGATGGAAGACAGATGGATGGATTAAGGATGATAGATGGATATATGATAGATAATGGAGAGATAAATAGATGGGTGACAGGGGAAAGAGACTGGATGTTATAGATGGGTGATATAGATAGAAGATAAATGGATGATAGATGGATAGACAGGGAGATGAGGTAGATGATAGAGAGATAGGTGGATAGTAGGTAGGTAGATAGATAGATACATAGATAGATAGATTGATGTTTGATGGGAATAGATAAGAAATAGATAATGATAACTAATAGATGATTAATAAATGAGAGGTAGATGGATGATAAAGATAAATAGGCAGAGAGACAGATATGAGAGATATATGATAGACAATAGAAAGCTCTAGTTAGGGTTAGATGTATGAAATATAGATAGATAGATAGATAGATAGATAGATAGATAGATAGATAGATAGATAACAGAGATAGGTTTATAATAGTTACATAGATAATGGATGATAGATGATAGATACATGGCTGATGGATGGATCATAGTTAAATAGATAGATGATTGATAGGTGCATGATAGAGATGGATAGATAAGAGATACATGAATGATAGTTGATAGATGATTAATAAATGAGAGATAGATGGATGATAATGATAGATGATAGATGGGTGGATGAGATATATGATTGATGATAGATTATAGATAGATAAAAGTAGATACATAGATGGTAGATAGATGGTTGATAGATGGTAGATGGAAGACAGAGAAGGATGGATTAAGGATGATAGATGGATATATGTTAGATAATGGAGAGATAAATAGATGGGTGACAGGAGATAGAGATTAGATGTTATAGATGGATGATATAGATAGAAGATAAATGGATGATAGATTGATAGACAGGTAGATGAAGGAGGTAAATGATAAAGAGATAGGTGATAGATAGATAGATAGATAGATAGATAGATAGATAGATAGATAGAGAAATGGGGATAGCTATATGATAGATATATAAATGATATATAAAAACAATGAAAGATAGATAGTCAGACAAACAGAAATGAGAGATGTGTGATAGACAATAGATAGCTGATAGGGTTAGATGGTAGGTAGATAGATAGATAGATAATGGATGGGGATAGTTATATGATAGATACATGATACATAGATAAATAGATGATACATGGAGAGCTGGATGATATAGTGGATGATATAGATAGAAGGTAAATGGATGATAGATAGGCAGATGAATGAGATAGATGATATATAGGTGGATGATAGATTGATAGATTGATAGATTGATGGGGGTAGATAATAGATGAATGATAGCTGAGAGATGATTAATGAATGAGAGGTAGATGGATGATAAAGATAGACAAATGATAGATGGGTACATACATTATAGTTGAACAAGAGACATAGATAAGAGAAAGAGAGGTGGATGAGAGATATATGGTTGATGATAGATTATAGATAGATAAAAATAGATACATAGATGGTAGATAGATGGGTGATAATGGTAGATGGATGACAGAGAGATGAGTAATTGATATAGATAGTGGATAATGGAGAGACAGATGCATGAGAGATGATAGGGGGATAGATAGATGATATAGATAGAAGGTAGATGGATGATAGATGGTAGATGGATGACAGAGATAGATGGATAATAGATGATAATTGGATAATAGATAATGAAGAGATAAATAGATGCGATGGGAGATAGAGAGCTGGATGATATAGATGGAAAATAAATGGATGATAGACAGGTAGATGAATGCGGTAGATGATAGAGAGATAGGTAGATGATAGATAGATAAATAGATGATAGATATGTAGATATTACATAGATGACAGATGAAAGATAAATAGGCAGACAGTTATGAGAGATGTCTGATAGACAATAGATAGCTGATAGGGTTAGATGGAAGATAGACAGATAGATAGATAGATGGATAGATAGATGATGGGGATAAATATATGATAGATACATAGATGGTACATAGATAAGTAGATGACACATGGAGAGCTGGATGATATAGTGGATGATATAGATAGAAGGTAAATGGATGAGAGATAGACAGGTAGATGAATGAGATAGATGATATAGAGATAGGTGGAAGATGATAGATAGATAGATAGATAGATAGATAGATAGATAGATAGATAGATAGATAGATAGATGGATGTTTTATGGGGATAGGTAAGAAATAGATGAATGATAGCTGATAGATGATTAATAAATGAGAGATAGATGGATGATAAAGATAGACCGATGATAGATGGGTACATACATTATAGATAGTTGAACAAGAGAGATAAGAGAAAGAGGTGGATGAGAGATATATGGTTGATGATAGATTATAGATAGATAAAAATAGATACATAGATGGTAGATAGATGGGTGATAGATGGTAGATGGATGACAGAGTGAGAGATGAGTAATTGATTTAGATAGATGATAATGGTGAGACAGATGCATGAGAGATGATAGGAGGATAGAGAGATAGATGATATAGATAGAAGGTAGATGCATGATAGATGGTAGATGGATGATAGAGATAGATGGATAATAGATGATAGGTGAATAATAGATAGATAATGGACAGATAAATAGATGGGTGACGGGAGTTAGAGACGTGGATGATAGAGCGATTAGACGGATATTATAGATAGAAGATAAATGGATGATAGATAGATAGATATGTAGATGAATGAGATAGATAATAGAGAGATAGGTGGATGATGGTTAGATAGAAGATAGATAGATAGATAGATAGATAGATAGATAGATAGATAGATAGATAGATAGATAGATAGATAGATGATAGAGATAGATGATTGATAGGTGGATGATTGATAGAGAGATGAAAGAAATAGATGGATGATGGATGAATGATAGAGATGGATGGATGACAGAGAGAATGATAGTGGATAGATGGATGATATAGACAGATGAAGGCGGGATAGGTGACAGATGGACAATAGGTACATAGATGATAGCTAGATGGAAGAGCAATAGATGGACAATAACTGATAGATGTGATTTTAAAAGAAGACAGAAATAAAACAGTACAAAAATAATTATGAAAAATGCTTTAAATACAGCCAGTAAGAAAAAAAAAAAAAGAGCAAAAGAAGGTAGAAAGTGGGTTAGTTGTGGGTAGAAGAAAGGAATGGGCAAAGAATAGAAAAAATGAAGGGGCCAGGAGGAAAAGAGAGGACTGGAGAGCAAAACAAAGGCGGCAGGGAGGGAGGGAGGGAGGAGGATGGGGAAAAGTGGGACAGAAGATGGAAAGAGAAGTTTTAGGTGATGCGTCAAAAGGGAGGGATTTCGATAAAGAGGAATGAGAGAGTGAGAGGAGGAGCCAGTAAATTCCTGGGCAATGCTGTGTGACGGGGAGGAGATTTATTAAGTATAAGTCATGGGTTTTTTGGTTTTTTTTTAAATAATAAATTTTATTTTTATATTCCCCATACAATTGCAGCCCCCCCATTCTGACCCCATGGATAGACCTTATTTTTCAAAGGAGAACCCAGTAAAAAGTCAGTACTTAAAAGATAGAAAGGGACAGAAGAAATAAAAATCGTTTTTTAAAGGTAGCTAGTTCATAGATAGTGAAAGAAGAGGGAAGATGGGCAGAGCAGAGTGGGATCGAACAGGGAGGGAAGGGAAAGGTAAGGAAGGGGAGGAGCGCGGGAGAGAGGGAGGGAAAAGGAACGGAGAGATAAAGAGAAGGATGTTTTTAAAGGAGAGCAGAAAATAAAAGACTTTAAAAATGAGAGAATTTATGCAAGAGAAAGTTTTAAAAGATCAGGTCTTAGAGTGACAATAGAAGGAGGAAGGAATGACGTATGTGAGGGAGGAGTCTGTAAGAGAAGTTCCTAATTCAGTTCAGTAAGCTGTGCTTGTGCTACTGGGACCAGAAGTCACTTCAGCAGTTCTATTGCTGCCTGCATCTGCAATTGTTAACTTCCGCTTCCAGTAGGAACAGAGTTGCAGGTAGGCATCTAAACAGTGGCCATCGCAAATGTTTTTTGAAAAAGAAAATATAAATGAATGTATAGTCACAATATTACAGGGTGACGGGAGAATGAAGATGTCTATTGCACCAATGAAATTGACTCGTACTACTAACTAATAGGACATCATCTTAGATGCCAAGTGACGCATAACTATTGCAAACCCAATTTTCATACATATAGTTTGGGATCCTTTTGTCCACCTACGTGATTAGAAACAGGAACTGTGGTCATTTCTTTCACAGTTGAGGTGTATGTATATAGTTGTCTCTGCCAGGTCCTGAGGCACAACCACGCATTGGCATGGCCCCAGCGGCCTGGTGGTCTCCAGCGCAGTCACTATACTGGTCTGCATCCCCACCCAGAGATAAGGCCACATTCTCATTGAGCAGGATGGAGGGATGAAGTCTGTCCTTTCTCCCAGAAGTCAACTCTGTCCCCACAAAGTTTAGCTTTAATTCAACAAGAGACTATTATGAAGGGATCATCCTCTCTCCCCATCACATCTCTCTTTATCCTGGGAGTTCTCAATCTTGCACTATTGACATTTTAGGTGAGATAATTCTTTTGTTGAGGAGGCTGTCCTATGCATTGTATGATATTTAACAGCGTCTCTGGCTTCTACCCACTAGATGCCAGAAGCAAGCCTCCCTCCATTTGGAATAGATCAGAAATATCTCCAGACACTTCCAAACGTCCACTGAGAGTTCTAAATCGCCTTCCATTACAAACCACCACCTAACCTCTCCCATTCCTGCCCACAAGCCCACATGTAGATTAGCATATTGTTCTCTTCCTAGTGAGTATGAAAGGATGAGATGAATAGAATCCATCTTGGATAACTTTTCATCTCTTCTATAAAATAAATGTTTTATTATGTTTCTTTAAGATAATTCAGGCACCAAGAAAACGAATGACTTGTTCAGTGATGCACAATCACATCAAGAACAGAAACGTAAGTGAAATTCTTTGATGAGAAATATTACAACAGTAATTTGTAGAAGTACTGGATTTGGTCAGGACCCTCCGGCTAGACTCTCAGCCCTTTCTGGGCTTATAAAGCAAGAGCGCAAGGGAGATAGGGACAGGTTGGTAAAAGGGTACACATTTTCAGCTACAAAACAAAATGTCTGAGGGTCTATTGTAACATCTGGTGACTACACTTGATAATGCTGTGTGGCATCATTGCCATTTACTAAAGGAGCAGACCTTAAATGTTTTCAACAATAACAAAAGAGACATGAGGTGACAGGCTGCTAACTAAGTAGGGGGGCATCCTCTCCCAATGCATACATGCATCTGATCACCACAATATATATTTTACCTTACAATTTTATGTCAATTATACCTGAATAAAGCTAACATTATTTTAAAAAGAGAGAAAGAAAAAGAAAGCAATCCCTCAGAGAGAGTCTTGCTCTGCTTGACCACACTATATTGCAGTTTCTGAGCCATGTGGGTAGGGGCGACTTGAGATGTCTTTCTAGAATCCTACATGGAGAACACAACAATAACTTTTCTCTCCATGTTAACCTCACTCATTTGAAGCAGTTAAGGTAAAGAACATGTGAAGCCCCTTTTGATTTCTTTGCTCTTTAGCCTCCTACCACCCTTCCATTTCCCATCATCTCTGAGCTGCTAAAGCAGTGGACTTTCCCCCCATAACTTCCTTAAGTTACATCCTCCTCCTTCCTGAGTCCAGACATCTCTTATTGGAGGACTTGACAGCATTTTGAGCTAGTATTTCAGTCCATTGCTTGCCTTGCACTGCACACTGTCTGGGCTGTGTCATCTTGTTTTGTGGATGGCAGGTGTTGAATATTACCTGCATTTATTGTGGCTTTCCTCCCATGAAAATTTTGAACCTCCCCTCTCTACTCTTCAGCTCCATTCCCAGGCAGGTGGGTGTCTCTGGAAGGCTAGGCAAAGAACTCTACCATAAGAAGTCACACACTGAGAAAATAATATAAGATGGTGAGACAATAACCCTGTCACATAATGGCTCCTTTTCATAAAGTCCCCCAAGTGAGCACAGCAAAATAGGACTTTCCAGACTTATGCTCACTGTAAAAAAATATAAGATACAGGGAAATATACAGTACATATGTATGTATATATATATATATATATATGTGTGTGTGTGTGTGTGTGTGTGTGTGTGTGATGCATTTTATATCTGTGTATATAAAATGGGCAAAAGAGCACGAACAAACATTTTCCTAAAGACATGCAGGTGGCAAATAAGCATGTGAAAAGCTGTTTAACATTACTAGTCATTAGGGAAATGCAAATTAAACTACAGTGAGATACCACAGCATACTTACTTAGCAAAATGGCTAAAATTTAAATACCTATGACGCTACTAGAACTCTCTGAAATTGCAGGGGGAATATCAAATGGTACAACCACTTTGGATACAGTTTGGCAACTTAAGTTAAATATACATCAATCACATGATTCAGCCATTCTACTTCTAGGTATGTGCCTAGGAGAAATGAAAATATATGCCCACATAAAGAACATGTACATCAGTGTTCATAACAGCATTATCCATAATAGCCCCCAAAATGGAAACAACCTAAATGCCCTTCCACAGGCAAATAGATAAACTATAGTACATCCAGACCACGGAATACTACTCAATAATAAAAAGGAATCATTTATTCATACACTCAATAATATTGATGAATCTCAAAAAGTAACTATACTAAATGAAGAAAACCATTTCCATTTCTAGCGAACTCTAGAAAATGCAAACTAATTTATGTGATAACAGATCAGTGGTTGCTTAGAGGACGGGTAGAGGGACAAATCATAAAGGGGTACAAGGAGACCTTTGGAGGTAATGGAAATGTTTATCTCCATAGTGTTAATGAGTTTATACCTAAGTCAAAATTGAATCAACAGTACATTTAAAATAAGTGTGTTTTTTTCTTTAGTTGGACTTAAAAAATTGTTTAAAAATTAGATAATTTTCATTTATTTTTAGGACATCAGCGTTCTCCAAGTTTTTCTAAGACTTCTCCCAGAAAACCATCAATCTCAGTATCTCATGACATACAGAATAACCCAACAGAAGAAAAGGTAGAAAGTTGTGTGTCTCAGATGCTTTGCATTCATCAGTAATTGATCTGGTTAACTTCTTTAAAACAAACTGACTGCAGTAACATTGGTTTATAATATTATAAAAGTTGGTTAACTCTCATTTCTTTGGGCTGACCCTTTCTTCAGCACAGTTCTGGCCTGTCAGAGGCACATGGCTGAACCCTGTCCTTAGGAGGAAAGGTTTTGAGTAGGTTTCTTGCCAAATGTACTGTGTAGTTTAACAGAAATAACTTATACAGTTGATGAGATGGATGGAAGAGGAGGAAAACCTGCTGTGGGCCAGACCCTGTGCTAAGCTAGAGGTGTAAGAGTGGGAAATATTTAGGTGACATAGGGTAGAAAGGTGGGGAAGACACACCAATCCTTTTAAGGACTCACCATCCTGGAATCAGACATACATAAACAAAAGCCCTTATGGTAAAATGAGAGGTGAACAAAATGCAGCAGGGGCACAGAAGATTAGAGACTACTGCCTAGAGACATCGAAAAAGACTTCATTCAAGGAGGGTTTAATTGAGTTAAGTCTTGAAATGTGAGGGAGAAGTTTCCACGTGGACAGGTATGAGATAATGAAGCAGTGTGGCAGACAGATGTTAAGGCATTAAGGGAAAGCATGGAAGTGTGAGCCAGCGCACCCAGGGCAGTGCAGGTGAGGAGACAGAAAAGGTAGGTTGAAGCCAGGGCTTTGTATACCTTGTCCAAATATGAGTGTCATCTCTCAGTATTAGGGAGCATTGCAGTTTTTTTGAGTAGGGTTTTGATTTGGGTTTTAACAAGGCAATCTGGTTGCAGTGTGTGAGTGATACAGAGAAGAGATTGAGAGGCAAGATAGTTTTGCATCCACTGGCATAGTTCAGATAAAAATGACAAGAACCTGAACTAACTCAGTGGCAGTAAGGGTGACAAAGAGGCCACAGACGTAAGATGTTTCAGAGTCAGACCATGTCAGGGCTTGGTGACTCAATAGATGTGTGGATCCAGAGAGAAGGAGACAGTGATGATGATGGTGGTGATAATGATGTAATTTTTGTGAATAGATTGTCTTGAAGATAGGGACACTTTTCTCTGTGTCCCCATGGTGCTCATGCTTACCTCTAGCTCACAACTCATCACACTGTATCACTGTTGTCTGTTCTACTAACTGAAACTTCTTCAAGTCAGGAATGACATATCTGAATTCAGTTCCAAGCAGTTTGCTCTATAAGCATTAGATTGGAGTCAGTGGGCCTTATCTTAAATAGATGGAACAACTCGAAGCTTTCTAGAATGGAGTTTACCTTTAATGAAAATATGAAAGACAGAAGAGTAGCAAGCTTGGAAAGATGGGGGCAGTGCCTGGGTACATAATAAGCTTCATTTTGAACTAGTTTAGTTGGGTACCTGTAAGAGATACCCAGTAAAAGGTTGATAAAATATGTGTGAGCATTGAGACCAGAGCCTAGCAGAGAGCTAGGAGACCCCCCTGTCGGGGGTGGGGAGGCAGGAGGAGATACTTAGTAACTTGATTGCTCTAAATTCGGCAAGAGTCTCTTCTAGAAACTTAATTACTAATGAATGTGTTTCTTTTGAATATTAAAACAGGAAAGTAGAAAGGCGCATAAAACTTCAAATATTTTAAGTGATGAAGGTAAGAAAATGAACAATATTCATATTTGTTTTGTTACCTTTCAGTTAAATCACTATAGTTTTGTCGTTTTTCTGGGTTTTGCCTCTTTTTCTGATTACATAGTCTGTGATTGTTTTGATACAGGAAGATATAAAAAGTATTCATGATTATAAAAGTTAGTAACCCATGCTTTGAGTGATTGCTGGGTCCATGGGCCCTTTGGAATTTGCAAAGCCTGGGGAAGTTGGAGACCCTGCTGTGGCCACCTGTACTGAAAGGCACCGTAAGCAGCTCACTGATTGCTATTTGAGGGTCCCAGTGCTGAGAATTGTTCCCATAAAATGCTCCGTCTCTATTGCCTTCCTTTCTCCCCAGACATAAAAACATATTTCTGTTCCTCCTTTTCCAGAGCTGGATTTGAGATTAGCTATATCTCTGCTGCTCTCTTGCATATTCTACACAAACACCAAGAGTGTTAGGACATCCGGGCAATTAGCACCCCAGTCCAATATGTAAAACCCAAATTTGTCATCTTCAGTCATCGCAAACCTGTTCTTTGTTCCTCCTAATTTTATCTAGGTACCAAACTTGAGCCATCTTTGACTCTTTCCTATTGCTTATATTCTACAGCCACAAGTGACCACATTCTATCTAAACTACCTCCTTAAATTCTCTAATAACCTTTCCCTCCTTCCCATTCATACCACCCCTGCCCTTGTCTACCATAACATCTTGCATCCAATCTCTTCTTCCTCCCATTAATCTGGACTGTGTTTTGCCCTGAATATAATCCCCCTGCAGTACACCTTTGGACGTAGAGTTCTCCTACTCTAAAGTTTTCAGTGGTTCCCCCTTGCCTACTGACAAAAGTGCAAAACAGTTCATTGTGGGGCAGGTAGGAGGAGTGATGGGAAATAAAGCAGGCAAAGGAACTTAGGAGCAGAAGATGGGGAGTTCAGACTTGTCCCTGATGTCAGTAGTGAAGCCCTGGAAGTTTGTAGACAGGAAACTTCAGAAAAGGCCTTTTAGACTTGGAGATAGTGCCTTAACTTGAGTAAATCAATACATCCTTGACTATGATAATTCTAGACACTATGGCAATTCAGCATGGAGAACTATTGTTTAAAGGTCTTCTTTTCCCTAGGTACTAAAAATACAAGTGTGTCTTCCAAAGCAAATGCCTCCACATACTCTTCACAAGATGGCCACAAACGTGAGGCAAGTAACATTTTGTTTATCCTAGATATAAACAGAACAAATGATGTATGAACTTATGATCAAGATTAGTGTAACACAATTTCATTCATTAAATTGACAATTCAGAACAGCCTTCCTTACACCCAAAATTAACCACCCAATAGTGATGTGCCATAAAAATTGACATGTGAACCCACTGTCATAAACCTGTGTTACTCAGACTAGCTGCACTCATGATATTGGGTTATGTTAGTGTCCAAAGTGCAGGGATACTCAGTAACAAATGGTAAGGTAACAAAAGAGGAGTTCTGAGATTTCATCTCGATCTTATACATTATTGTAAACCAGTGTTACATCAATAAAAAAAATCACAGTAAAAAGTGGTGAACCTGAGACTGAATGTTATAGTTACCTCGGTTCTTTAATAGAGATTTACTTGAAACAATTTGGTGTTCCCACTTAGCCCTTAGGTTATAGGCTTCCTAATGATGAGCTTCGAGAGCTTCAAGGTACAGACCTATCCCCTGCAGAGGAAGGAACCAATTGGACTATTGTGAATTCTTTCTCTTCTAGTGCTGATGGGTTAGGCAGAGACAGACACACGGCCTCACCTTATACCCTTTGCAACCAGTGATGAGAAGTTAGTAGCAGACATTCAGTGTGCAGTCTCTGATCACAACATACATGGCCTCTGTGGCTTCCCAACTTGTCATTAAAAGAATCAAATCCACATCCTTGGTGCCCTTAGTACTATATCAATTGACTCATTTGTTCTAAAAAGTTAACATGGTTTGGAAGAGATGTCATATAGCAAGAAATTCACTGAAGTCTTCCTAAGTGAATTCTACAGATAGAAAGCAGCATCGTTTGCTATGTCCTCTGTTAAATGCTTAATAAGCAGCAGACTCAGTTACGTGTAATAACTGCTCAAATGTAGCACATTAGTCACATTATGCTTCTCTGTAAAAGCCAACATTTATGAAACACCTGCTGTGTACAGGGCTCTGATACTAGGTCAACTTGTATGGTTAGAATCTGGAAAAAGAAACTTTTAAGCTACTTAGAGATAGTTTAGTAAATGCTCATCAGAAATTAATCACTTTTTCCACTAGCCAGGAAAACAGTATCCCTTCAGTGTAACATGGCTGGCAAACCTAATACTATATACTTTACCAAAAGAGTTAATTAACAAATCTAGATTGTTAGTTTGAAAGGAGACTTTTAAAATATTGGACAATCTGAATACATCAAATGGTCACAAATTCCCAGTTTATTTTGAGAAATACCTTGAGCAATTTTATTACAATAGAATACTATATTGTTTTCCAACTTATTTCACCCATCCCATCAGTGTCAAGAAATGTACATCTGGTGGTTTGTGTTCAGCTCTTAGACCTGGGAAAAAAAACTAAATCTACTTTGTTACTTAAGTAGGTAGAGCTCTTGGCCAAATCAGAGAGTTACATCCCATGTATGCTGATAACCTGCTCTCTGCCTTCCAGCTCTCAGAAAACATTTCCCCTATAGTTAGCTTTGTTTAAAAACCACACATATTCTATTATAACCCATTAGCTATTCAACTAATTACCTTCTACTGATCAGATGACTTTAGAATACCCATGAACTCTATAAGCCTTTGAATTCTATGAGTAATATGTGTGGTATAAAGTAAATAAAACATGTATATTTATTAGATGGACTTTTAAAATGACTTAAGTTTCTGTATTTTAAATATGAAAAATAGCTAATGTTCAAATTCTTTAAAAACTCCTTTGAGTATTTTCTTTGTTTTTATTTTTCTTGTGGCATTTATAGGTAACATATGCTGATTTGAATGAAAAACAGTCCAAGAAATCAAGTGTTAGCTTTGAGTCAGGTAAACTTTAGCAATAGTTAAGTAAATTCTATAGTAGTCATTCAACTAACATTTATTGGGCTTCTGCTATATGCCAGACACTATGCTGAATAGCATACAAAATAGAAAAGCCCTGGTCTCTATCCTGAATTTTACAGTTTACTGGGGAACAGTCATGCCAATAATCACAACCCAATATGATAAGTACAATAATGGAGGTGCAAAGTAGACTGTGCAAAGTCTACTGGAAGCAAAAGCATTTGCAGAAAAGACCCAAGTTGAGCTGAGATTTGAAGGATGAGAAATAATTTTCTAGGCAGACAATTGGTAAGAGAACACATTTACAAAAATACAGACTTTGGAACATAGTGTGTTTGTGGAAATACAAATTATTTAGCTAATGTTTCAAGTTAGAAAATTGAAGATGAACTTGACTGGTAGATATCATTAGACTCTGGTAGATTCATGCCAAGAAATCGACCTTTCCCATTATCCAAGGGAAAATATTGAACAATACTGGCAGGAACATAATATGATAAGAATTTTCCTTTTCAAAAAAGGGATAATGGAAGTATAGGTGAAGCGATTGAAAGCAGTGAAACAATGAAAGTTACAGCATTTATTGAATGTTTACATGTACAAGGACTATGCTAATCTCTTTATTGTCTCTCATTTAAACCTCCTAAAAATTTAATGAAGTAAGAACTATTTTTATCTACCATTTTACATACAAGTAAACTAGTAATATATCTTGCCCAAAATGTGCAACAGTATGTGGCAAAGCCGGGTTTTAATCCTGGTCTCTCTTACTTAACAAACCACAATACCATGCTACCACTTCTTATAATTAAAGAAACTATTACTATAGTCAAGGCTAGAAATAAATCCTGAAGAAAGTCAGTGACAATGGGGATGGAGAGATAGGCACAGACTCAAACTAAGGAGGTCAAGTGGATGAGATTTGGGAGCTAAAGGAGTTCATGACAACACCCAGATTTCTAGACTGAGCAACTAAATGGTTATTGGATAGTGGTGCCATTCAGTTGATAGGCAAGATAGAAGGATGATCAGGTTTGGAAAAGAAAAAATTAGCTCAGCTTTGAATATACTGAGTTTGAAGGGTCTACAGGATCTACACAGGAATGTAAGTAGAACACTTTTAACAGCAGTTATGGATTCTGATCTGGGGCTAACAGGAGAAACAATGAAAACACCTTATACCAAAAATGATAGGAAATAAAACCTGTGCCCATAGATTTTGGTATAAAATGTACTTTTTCAGGGAGATTATACTTTTTCCTCTTAATTCCCTCTTTGATTTAAAAGTTATCCATAAGTATGATTCTTAATTATCAAGAAATTCATATTTTGGGTCACTTTTTTAATTAGGTTCAGAGAATATAATCCTCTGAATCTTTTGGACATTGAAATTCTTAAGGTTTTCTTTGTATAATTTGAACATATTCCATGGAGATACCCCAAAATATATATTCTCTAGTTGAAGAATAAAGGCTCTAGATGAATATTAAGTTATATTGATTGATTGTATTATTCAATTTTCATGCCTTTGTGACTTTTTTGTCTACTAGACTCCTTTCTTACCATCCAGTAGATATGTCCAGCCATCGAAGAGGTGTATCAAAGTTCTCCACTATAATTGCATTTTCATCAGATTCCCATTGTGTATCTAATAGGTGTTACAGACAGGTTAGCTTATTTAATGCACCATATTGTTGGAAACCATTAAGAATTCTTTATATTTTTAACAATTACAGTAGTTATCTATTGGTGGGGAACAAATCACCCCAAAACTTGATAGCTTGAAAAAATTATTTCACAATTTTTATGGTCTCTCATGAGGCTACAGTCATCCAGGCTGCTGCAGTCACTGAAAGGCTTGACTAGCTCTGGAGGATTCACTTCCAAGGGGCCTCGGTCTTGTGACTGTTGGCAGGAGGGCATAGTTCCTCACCACATGGGCCTCTCCAAATTGCTTCTTGAGTGTCTTCATGATATGGGATCTGCCTTTCCCCCATGTAAGTAATGCAAGAGAGAAGTTAGACACCATCATTTTCACAATATACTAGCCATTCAAAGCAAGTAACTGAATCCAACCCACACTCAAGGGGAAGAGAATTAACCTCTACCTTTTAGAGGGAGGAGTATCGAAGCATTTGTTAACATATTTTTAAAACCACCATACCAGTATTATCTTTACACATAATTTTTCAGGTTTGTGCATAGTTAATTCCAGTTCCTTCCCAAACCTGTACACATATAAAACCATGCTCCTACCCAAAGAAATTCAAAAAGGTACATAAAAATTAAGTAAGGCTTTTAAAGCAGGTTGTTGGAGTTGTCTCATCATACATTTTTTGGGACAGAAAGAATAGATGGTGTTTGAGTGGAAAACACCAATGGCAGACAGAATGATGAGCAAACATCAAATCAACACATATGTTAAAGAATTTATTCAACAAATAAATCTTATTGAGCACATAGCATATGCCGGGCACTATACAGTGGTAATCACAACGCGAGATAGTAAGTCCTAGGATAGAAGCCGGTATCAGGTGCTTCAGGAGCTCTAACAGAAGGTGCTTGTCTTGTCTGCCCAGGCAGACTTCAAGAAGACTTTCTGAAGGAGGTTACATGAGCTGAATGAGTCCTAATGGATAGGAATTAAAAGAGGGAGAGCCAAGCTACAATGGACATAATGAGGGAAAGAGCGGGAATTGCATGTTGTTCAGTGTCTCCGGAACAAAGTGTCTATGGAGAACAATGACTAGAGATGAGGCTGCTAATGTAGACAGTGCCCCAGATCTTGCGGTATATTTTATGCCTCTCCGGGGTCCCTGAAGGGTTGAAACAGAGCAGTGACAGCAGGGAATAGACCTATTGACACATGTTGCCATTTTACGAGTAACCCATGAAGGACATCAACAAATTGTAATTTTCTTTTCTCTTTGAAGATCTACCTGCAGCTCAAAAAACCACCTTTTCTCATGACTCATCATTTAAGTAAGTAAGAAAGTCTAAAGTCCAATAAGTAGTTACTTTATTTTTTTTCAAAGGCATAGATTTCATTTGCACTTACATGTAATAAGGTCACAAGAACAAATATTACATGCTAAATAATAAGTAGTTATTTTAAATGAACATTTTGATGATTACCCAGGAAAGCTGCTTGAGGGCACAGTCTCTCATGAAATCCTCCATTCTTAAAGTACTGTTTGCATGTGGTGAAGCTCTCATCGTTTGCAACCTCTCAGGACTAAGCTAAAGTTGTGAAGTAGAAAAAAGTTAGTCCTTCAGCTCTTCTACCTCTTTTCTCTCTCTTCTCACTTTGATTCTATGCTCCCCTTAAATACAGGGTCTAAATCCCCCTTTCAAGTCGTACTACAGGTTAGCCTTTTGGGATCTGGATCTGTTTTGTTTTTTTTTTTTTTTCCTTCTTTCCCTATTCAAACATACATTGCTTGTGCCTTTTTGAGCTTATTTGTTTCTCTTTTTTTAAGATTTATTTTATTTATACAAGAACTGGGGTACAGGCCAGAGGTGTCGGAGGGTGAGAGGATTCACCAAAGACAGAGCCAGGAGCAGAACAGGCAGATGGACTGAAATACACTGCTGAGGGGAGCAGCAGATGAGATAGGAGAGGTCTGCTGTGCCATGTGGGTATCTCCCTGGCGGCCGGGAATCAAACCTGTGCTGCAGCGGCTGTGGACAGCTTTACAGCACTGCACTCAACCCGCAGTGCTACCAGGGAGGCCCTTGAGGTTATTTGTTTCTTAAAGATAATAGTTTACTGTGTAGTATTAATGACTTAATCTGTTAACCCATTCTAAGGATATTTCCACTGCAATTCAAAGGAATCAGTCTCTAAGGATACAAAATGAAGACCAGCGGGACAAGATTTGGTAGGGGTGAGGGTAGGGAGGCCTAGGGCCCTTTCTGTCCTCAATCCTTGGTGGCTATCTATGCTGCTAAGTTCCTGTTCCCCTCAAGCTTGAATAATATTTCATGCACATAAAATAACTCCTAATGGAACACACAAGCCTAATCTTTTAAAAATTTAACAATCCCTAGGCCAAGGATAGTTTTTCCAGATGCCAAACTCTGATGAAAATGATTGGGTAAAGTGAAGTGTAGTATGTGCTGGTAAATGGTGTTCATATTCGGACCAAGCTTCCTAGAGAGGGTTTTGAACTTGGAGGTAGGAGAAGTCAGATTCTATGACTTGCTGGGTGCCCGTAAGATAAGTACAAAGATGCCAGAAGAAGGAAACTAACCCAATATTAGGATGATTTAAAGAAATAAATGAAAGAATAATGATTATGTGTAATTTTATAAATGTTAATTCCTGTCTCTCTCTCTCTTCCTCCTGCCCTCACCCCCACTACAGAGCTACAGAATCACTTGTGTCTTTTTAATAGCAAATCCTCTGGATACCCTTTTATTAGCTCAGCTAAAATGATGAACTCTGCACATGACCTGGAGCTTTTCCCCCATATCCCCCATAACCGTATACACAGCTTAAAATACTCTTACCTACACTAAGGACAATTCCAGGCCAGCATAACAAAACCTAGCTAATGGGTCCTCTCTGGTGGCACAAGGGGTTAAGTCTCAGCACTATGAAGTTATCAGCAGCCACTGCAGCGCGAGTTCCATCCCCGGGCAGGGAGCTGACCCACATGGTGCAGCAGACCTGTCCTGTCTCATGTGCTGCTCCCCTCAGCAGTGTATTTCAGTTGATCTGCCTGTTCTGCTCCCCACTCTGTCTCTGGTGACTCCTCTCAACCCCCGCACCTCTGGCCTACACCCCAGCTCTTGTATGCATAAATAAATACAAGAAATCTTTAAAAAAAAAAAACCTAGCTAACACCACCATCTGGTCTGGCTCCACCCACTGCAGCCAGGACACACTCCTTATCTTACAGAGAAGAATACAGGTTCAAGGTCTTTGTCTTAGTCCTCTTGTTCTGATGCAGCTCCTTGTTTCCCAAGGCTCAGCTGTGACTAGATATGCCATTTACCTTCTTTGTCTCCTCTCCCCTCAACTCTTTAGTTCCCCCTTTTTTCCCACAAAAGACATACATAGTAAGCTTCATAAAATAGAATTAGGAGCCAGGGAATTGGGACAAGAGAAAGCAAAAATGATAAGATAATGGTGGGAATAAGCAATTGTAATAAGTAAGCTTTGCATTTAGATACCATGTCCTTCTGATTGGGATGGAAGACAAGAGGAGAGACAGAGTAAAAGGAGGTAGTGAGTCTGTTGTCCGGAAGCCTGTGCTCAGAAGTTTGCATTCATTCGTTGGGTGATAGTTGAATGGTTTTGAGGAGGGATGTCGTATCATATCAATAACTCTTCTGAGCACTTGTGACAACAGCCATCTAAGACCAACTGAAAGTAGTTAACTAGATGCCAGTTGCTGAAATCCATTAAAGGTCTGTATTGCATATGAAGGCCTTCATTTTGGAGTGAGAAGTATACATAGTCCTAAAACATGTTTAGTGAGAATTTGTTTGCCAAGCTTCTTGAGAACATACATGAGTTTGGGGGGGATATCAAGATAAATAAGGCACTGCTCTCACCTCAGTTGCACTAGGAGAAAATCCAGGGAGACACAAGAATTCCAGATAATGAATTGAGGGCAGGAAGTAGATAAAATGCCAGACAAAGGGAGCACCACCCACCCATGAAGCTACGTGGTTGTTGACTTTCAGATTGGAACACTAATGTTGGGATATAGAGATGCTGTTTTTAAATTCCAGCCAACCACTAGAGTGAGTGAATGGGTTTGACAATAGAATGAACAGTAGGTATCAGGTATCAGGAATGATCAGTAGGTATCAGTCATCACCTAAAGCTATGGGTGTGAGATACAAGTAGAAAACCAATTACATTTAAAGTAGGTAAATAAATATATTGAATTTTAAAAATATTAAAAAATGAAACATAAAGCAAGACTTTGAATTAGAAGTATCTTCAGGAGCCAAACAGAATAAATAATCATTTGGATTTAAGTCCAAAAAATGTAGATATTCAGAAGGCCTAGGCAGACAGACTAAAATTTAGTCCTACCACATTCATCTTTTGGGGGTGATTGGCCAACCCTGTGAAGAGATCTTTCAGGTATCTTCTGGACTAAAGTGAGGTTGGAGGGAGGGGAGGGTGAAAATTTTATGACAGCAAATTAAATTGTGAAAAACTATGTCTTCTATTTGGAGATTCTGAACTGATTGGCATTAATATTACTGCCCTCTGTAATTAAGAAGTAGAGAGTTGACACTACAAATGACCTAAATCTTAAACACTCTGCTCTAGTAGCATCAACCTAGAATTAGGGAAAACCACCTAAGACCGGGAAAAGTGGATGAACCTTCCCAACAAAAATCTGATCATTCATTGAAATCTGTGTCTGATAATACATCTCGTTTCCAGTGGCCTTATATGAAACTTACTCCATTTATTTGGTTAGTCTTGCTCTCGGATCTTTGCTATTTGCTTTTATCTAAATGCATGCCTTAAAGATAGAAAGCCTGTGGGGGCAATAGTGACAAATACACAGGGCTCCCTGGGTTCCTCCACTCCCTGCTGTGAAATGAGGTAGAGGGAGCAGGAAGAAGAATCTGGGAGCATTAGATTGCAGAGGATCTACAAGAAGGAAATTGTCTTGGAGTTGGTCTAAGAAACTGAGTCTTGGAAAAATAAATGAGTCCAAAGATAGGAACCCTGTCACTGACATCAGCATTCATGGTCTAGTTTCCATGTTGCTAAAAGGTACTAGGTCTGAGAATGAGCTATTGCTCCCTAACCCTAGCTGAGACCTATGAAGTTTTCTTTTCGTACTAGGAATTAGGTTGTGACTTCACAATCCGACTATTTCTCAAAATTTAATGGTAGGTCTTATGGGGAGAAAGTAAATTTGATAATATAACTGTAGGTCAAGTGAAAATGAAGATAGAGCACCATTTTTCCTTTAAGAAGGTCAGGAAGAAGAGAGGCAAAGGATGCCTGTAGGCTTGAAAATAAATCAGAATTGCAGTCTTAGGCCTTGGGGTATTTTTTTAAGTTTATTTTGGTTATTCTATAATTTACATGATTTTATTGCTACCATTTAGTAAGATATATTTTTGGTTCCATGTCATAGATAACAATAATTCTGATTAGAATGGAAGAGAATATTGTGATACCTAGAAAAGACATCCAGTTTGTTATTGCATATATCAGAAACCAGTTATATTAATCCATCATGATCACTCATAGATGATCATTCATAGATCCTTTCCTATTGTGGAGTGAGGCAAGGAGACTAAGAGTTTTGAGGAGATGGGTAGAAAATGAATTACCAGAAAGATCTGATCAAGCAGAGCAGGCAGAAAGGTCTGGCCAATCCCATCTCTCTCCAACTCCACACTCTTCCCAGCTCTCTACAAAACAGACATGGCAGCAGAGTACTGTTTATGCCGCATTTATTCTACTCCTCTGAGTAACAGAGCATGACCTACACCCTGGGACCAATATGTGAGTGGGAAATGAAGGGATTAGACAAAAAATAAAACTTGTTGGGCCTCCACTGGTGGCACAGCAGTTGAGCTCTGGGCTGCGAAGCTGCCCGCAGCCTCTGCAGCACTGATTCAATCCCCAGCCACCGGCGAGGGTACCACATGGTGCGACAGACCTCTCCTGCTGCGCCCGCTGCTCCCCTCAGCAGTGTATTTCATCAGTCTGCCTGTTCTGTTCCCCACTCTGGCTCTGATGAATTCTCTCATCCTCCCGCGCTTCTGACTGTACCCAGTGCTTGCACAAATAAATAAATAATTTTTTAAAAAAATAGAATGTGTTATTCTTGGTGAATTGCCAGGGAGAAAAAACATCCCCCACGCACAAAGGGGTAATCTGATTCAATGATTAGGAATTGGGGACAGGGGGTTGAATTACATAAATTATTAGCCATAAGTAATAAAATCCATCTCTCTTTACCTTTCAGAAACCCAAACTGCTATCAAAGTTGCTGTCAAGAAAAAGTGAGTACGATGAAATTGATAAGCAACATATCAAAAGGTATTTTATAATGTTATAAGAGAAAAATCTGAGCCAGCCAACTTGCAATCATCTGTTGACATTAGTCAGTCTCCTTCTTTGCCTTTTTCTCTTCCTTGACTTTCATTCCCAGTTAATCTTGAGTTTTGCAGGTTCCAAACGTATTTTTAAAAGGGGGTCCAAATTACTGTTTATTGGTCCTTTCGCAGGCGTTCTCAGGAGGGTAAATTGGGGAGCCTTGAGAGGTCTGGTCATTGCGGGGCGAAGCTCCATAATGGGCAGCCATTAAGGGGAATGCCTTTGGGGACCACTACAGATCTGGCTCAGGGCTGAGCATCCTCCCCATGGACAGGTGACTTGCGATGCCTGGATCGCTCTCACTTCTGGGAATAAGACTCCTAAAAGCGCTCCTTCATCAAAAGAAGGGGCCTAGTTCCCTGAAAGCTGCAACTGGGACCACACAAAGATAGGAGGGTGAATTTGATGAACCCAAACTCTGAGGCTCGAGAGAACAGTCATGAACTAAAGGGGAGAGTAGCACAGGCTCTTTCACATATTTTCCTGCTCAATTTATAGACTATGCAGCAAACACAAAGACCTAGACATGGTGCCAAAAGGCTATTTCTCAATTTAAGCTAAAAAATCTGATTCTATTTACCATGTTTCGCTTGATTAAAAACTTTAAGAATGGGACCTCCCCTGGTGGCACAGCAATTGAACGCTGGGCTGCGAGGCTGCCCGCAGCCTCTACAGCGCAGGTTCGTTCCCTGGCCGCCAGCGAGGGTCCCACAAAAAAAGAAAAAAAAAACTTTAAGAATGCTCCTATTTTATATACCGAGGTTAGAAATATCTGCTGTGCATTGTCTCATGAGAAAATACTGTGTGTTGAATTCTTAGCTCAATGTATTGGAATAGACTTAGACCAAGAAGGTAAGTAACTTATCTATCAATGTTTGGATGCTATTCTCAGCAGTGTTTGATGTAGGATGTGTTTATGTAAGGTAAGTGTTCTGCAATCATATGTTGTCACCCATGCTGGTTTTCATACTCATCCATTATCTGGACCTGGTGGTAAGTACTCGATAGTGATGATATTTGCATGACATTGTGAACTTAGTGTTGCCAAACTGTACATTGTAAAATGGTCAAATGGTAAATTTCATGGTATGTGTACTTTGTCACATTTATTGTATTTTATCACATTTATCAATACATTAAGAGGGAATTGGAGTGGCTTTTCCCTGAGGTGGCCCTCAGACCTTCTCTAATGGGCCAGAAGAGAGTATGCTCCATACGACAAGGTGTTAACTTTGAATGTTGGCCTAAACTTGGGAAGTCTGGGAATTAACTTTGGAGATAACTGGGAGGCAACCAGGTACATTGTAAGGAATCTGGTGCTCAGATGCCAGAATATGCAACAATACGTATCTCAAATGCCCAGCATCTGGACTTTGTTGCACTGACTTGTGTCTCTAGCCTTGAAAAGTAGAGTTTCTGTGGGAGGTACACACTCCTCATCTGGCTGTGTTGACGGTAAAAACTTAAAAATTAATAATACTGTTATAGGCAAGAGGATTTTTTTGGTCCCCAAATTTATCTGCAATAAGTAGAAATGCATAAGCATGTGGGGAGTTTTGTATCTGCCCCTGGCCCAGCCTAATCTGTGACAATGAGCATAATTCACCACTGAGCAAATGGTCATTCAAGTCTCAAGTCTGGGTTTCTACTTCAACATATTAAAGGAGATCCAATTTCCCTTTACTGCTCAGCCAGCTGACCTTACTGAACTTGTCCCAGTTCTAGTGCAGCCCTATTTCTCTACCTAAATTACTGTGTTCCTTTACTGCCTGAGCTGTCCTGTCTCCCTATCCAAGGCAGTTTGCACTGATAATCTTTTGTTGGACCCAAAATGTATTTGTTTTCCCTAAATCATAAGTGCTGATTGTCACCCATCAATTAAACCTTAACAAATAGTTGTGGTCATTTACATATTAAATGCAGTCAATTAACAGAAGAAGCCAACAGCAGGGTGGCCACAGAGCAAACAGACTGACTTCAGGAGTCTTTGTTTTTCATGCTTGCCTCCTAGCTAAACAGGTGCCTAAGTCAAAGGAGGCTATCTCTGTGAAGAAACATAAATACTTTGGTTGCAAATTTGTTTCACAGAATGGTTAATTAGAGATAATCTGGCTTACATTTTTAAGAAATATTGCTTGAAAAGATAAACTCTTGCCATCTGTGGCAACTTGGATGGAGCTGAAGGGGATTAAAGAAACCAAAGGGGCAGATAAAGCCAAGCCAAGAACTAACTCTAGAAAGCTGACTATCGAACTAAGGCTGCCAGAGGAGGAGAAAGAGGGGGGAGAACAATGAGTGGGGAGCACAAAGGACTATGGTGGAGGACTGTGGGTGCTTTGGTGATGGGTGTGGTAAGGTAACAACATGGGGCGGGGGTAGATCATCCCATACTTCTAAAACACAACAATGTAAACCAAAGTTGCCTCAGTGAAAGACACACACACACAAAGAAGTACTGCTTGAATCATCAGTACAGTCTGTCTTCTTGTCAGAGCGTTTGTTTTCTATGAGCCCAGACACCCACTTAGCTATTTTTCAAACCAGGAAGCCATTTATCCTTAAAAATAAATACTGAAAATAAAATTTCCAAAGGATTTCAAATCAAAGAGATTCTTATTCAGAGCATAGATCATAACCATAGAAAATAAACCAACTTGAAAACCAAAATATTACTTAAATAGATCCTCTCCTGTGTTCTTGCTTTACACCATGGCTGGATTCTGTGTTCTTGCTTTACACCATGGCTGTGCATTGTTTGACATAAGGAATTAAAAGTTAGTCCCTGCCCCCAAAATGGAGTAAATTCATATTTGATTTCCCTTGTATCCTTGCTCACTTCCTTTCCAGGTAACTTCTGAAGAACTGCACAGTATAATTCATGACACAATGACCTGGGTCGTGGCTGCAGTGACCAATGTATTGTACCCAGCCATCACAAAGTATGAAGAAAAGTTACAAAACATTACACCCCCAATGCCTGATGCTTCTGTCTCCTCCTCAGATACTATGAACAGTGAGACATTTCCTTATAAAACAAGTCAGAAGTTTCAGGCAGAGCCCTGTGCAAACACAGCTGGTAAATCAGAAAAGCAGCCCACCACACCTTTAAAACAGGCTTCTGCCCATAAAGAAGGAACAGGTGTGGAGAAAAAATATTGTAAGAAAGGACAACTTAATGTCTTGGAAGCCAAGTATTATGAGACCTTTGAGCCCCCCAAGCTTAAACTTTCTACACCTGTTAGTCACCCTTCCCTCCAGGTCAAAACAGACTCAAAGAAATCTGAAGATGCCTCCACTGACCGTGGCTCACTGTCTTCCAGTAAAAGAGGAAAAAACATAAATGAGATGCAGGGATTACCAGATGTTCGTGCTGACTTTAAATACTATCTAAAAGAGGAAACTGAGTTGATTTTAAAAAACATTTTTCATGAGGTGATGTCTGAATTAACCCAGGCCATTTCCCCTCTTTCCTTGGCTACATTGGAAATTTCAGCTGACCAGTGCAATACTAACAAAGAGGACGTGCCCTCCAATGTAGCTGTCGCTTCAGCATCAGTTGAAATTGTGGAAAACGTGCTGGCGAAGCTGCAGTCTGCCATTGAGAAAAAATGTATTGAGATATATTCCCAAGAAAGTATGACAGTGAACTTTAACTCAAACACAGCTGTCAGTGAAAAACATCTCATAGCTTCTAAGGAGCAAACCTCAAAAGTTTCACCGCCTTATACTTCTGATAACATCAGTGAAGTTGCAGATAGTATGATTCATATGATTTTAGAACAACTGGTGGCTCTTGTATCTTCTACGCAAAATGAACTTGCTCGTCTTAAAATCACCACTACTGCTTATCCCCAACACAGGGAAGATCCAACATATACATCCCTTCCAAGAGCCGGCAAAAAGCAATCCAGTGCTGAACCTGATAGAGCCAGTTTGATTAGCAAAGAAGAACTTAAAACTTTAGTGTCAAATATTTTTTCTCAGCCCTCTCTAGTGGTTGCTATAGAGGAAGTAATCAGCTTTATTCTAGGTTACATACAAATTGGACTTAATAATGAAAAGCTCATTGCGGCTGAAGAAACCGTGATCATCCTTCAGCTGCTTGACGATATCTTGACTCAGCTACATCAGAGACCAGCAAAAACAGATGCCCAGGAGAGTACGCATGCCAGACTGAGGAGCCCTCCTAACACTAAAGAAAAGAACAGACTCGCCAGTACTAGAACAACTAATGGTCCTAACTATGCATGTCTGTTTCCACCTGTAAATGTTCCTGGTATGGTACTTTATTCTGAAGATGAAAAAGAAGAAATAAACAGAATAGTGGGAAATGTACTGATTTCATCTATCCAACAAGAAAAAGCAAACTTGCAAGAACAGTCTCCTGATCACTGGTTAACAAGGGAAAATGCTGGTTTTAAGTACAAAATAAATATGGACTTGCCTACAAAGACTGCTTATGGAGGCAAAGTAGCATTTCACCAATGCCAATTAAACACTGACTTTCCAGCTTTTACTAATGAGGAATCTTTTAAGGATGAGCCACATTTGAATAAAGATACTTTGCTTTTTAGTCAAGAAGAAAAGTATCAAATAGAAAAAGCCTCAGAAAATATAATTACCCATATTTTAGCACAGATGCTCAAAGACTTACCTTCTGGACCCTCTAGTAACTTTGATTATAAAAATGGTAAAGAGGTTTCTCTTATTACCTTTGTAAAACCACATGATCTGTCACATGAAGAATGGATGAACCGTATGTTCTCTGTGTCAGAAATCCATATAGTAGCTCAAGAAATTGTAGATGCTATATTAAAAGTACTTCACACGACATTTAGTCACATTGAGCATTCTTCATCAGCACATGAAACCTCTCTAGAGAATATTGATATACCAAATGAAGACCCATTAGAAAGATGGTTTGATAGTAATAAGAAAATGAAATTTTTATCTGCACTTGACATAGATCCTATAAAACATAACTGGTTAGAATATGAAGAAAGTGAATCAACATCTGAACCTCCAGTTCACATTAATGATAAGATCACTTATACAGTTTTTAAGAAACTGTGCTCGTTTATTTGCCCAAAGTTGCAAAACTGCTTTAAACCAGAAAGTCATACTACCTATTCAAATCCCGCACCTGACAAGACACCACTTCATTCTCACATTAGTGCTTGCACAACAAAAGTGGTAAATATCATTTTTGATGCTATTCAGAAAGAACTGAAATACAATAAGAAAAACCTAAATGGGAAGACAAGTCAGCCTGTCAGCAACTTTGTAGATACAGGATTTGGGACTGACGCAGAAAAGAAATTAGACTCTGTTGTTACAAAGCTAAATAATGACATTATGAAAAGTTCATTAGCAGCTTGTATTTGTGAAATGTTAAGTGGAAATTCAAATAAAAGCAACATTCTTTTCCCTTCAGATAAGTTACAGTCTAAGATCTCCTATAGAAGTGCTGACAGAGGTCAGCAAAATCTTTTGCCTTCTCATTGCCCCCCTATGGATGAGGAAGTTCACAAATGTCCAAGATCACAAGTGTTAGATAGAATTGGAAGTATTTTGTATGACTTGTTATACAAGCTCATAGGAGACCACCCACATTCTCCCCTATCTGATGAGCAAAACCAAGAATGGATCAATGAGAATTTAAGAACAATCACTCCATTGAGGTCTAACATTCAGCTCATCGCTCATACAATTCTAGAAGATACCATTGCAAAATTATGTTGTACTGAGATGGACCATAGTTTCACAAGTTCAGAATTTAAAGTTCCTTTGGAGTATATTGACACTGACAGCCTATCATTTGCTTTGCTTATTAAGGAAGTGAGCAGATGCGCTGACATTATCTCCAGCATGGCATCTGGCTTGATCCAGGCGGGTAGTGAAGACATAACTGACAGCAAGAGGGAAACTACTGCACCCCAAACAGGGGCCGCACAAGAAAAGCATCCAAATAAACTAAAAGTCATAGCTTTAGATATCCTTGAAATGGTTTTTGCTAAATTGGAAATGTTTGCCACTAGAGATTTGGAAACCCTGGGTGCTAGAATCAATGGAAATGAAAGGAGCAACGAGATACACTGGAAAAGTAGAAGTAATAATATTTGTGAAAAACTACTGCAGCCTATGGTATACCTGCATGCAAAGACAGTGTCAAGTACAATTTTGAAGGCTATTCAGACTGAATTGAATGTGAGCTTGCCAGATTTGGGAACATATATAAGCAAGCCACAACAAATAAAGCAAATGCTTAAAAATCTAGTCAATTTAATTTTAAATGCAGTGCCTCCAGATACTTTTCATCAAACTGAGCCAGAAGAGAGAAGCATTGAATATTATAGTTATAAGCCAACCTATGGAAATTTTCTTCCTGGAGGAGCTGACCCAGAGTCATATTTAGATGATCCTGTAGAGACAGAAAAAGAAAGTACTCGAAAGGAAAGATCCAAAGGGGAAGAAACTAAATCAGATTATTTTACACAACAGGAACTAGAAAAAACATTTAAAAAAATTGAAGTAGAACTCAAAGAGCCGCAGAAATCCCCAATTGTTCCTATTATAAGAAATATTTTGAATGAAATTTTTCAGAATGATTTAATTTGCCAGTTAAATGTGCTTCCTCTCCCCAAGTCCCATTTATGTGACATTCCTCATGCTCAAGATGAACCAGTTGCTCAAACATCTGTTCATTCCCTGGCTGAAACAATGGATCCTTTAGTGTCTGAAGAAGACGTAACCATTGTTGCAGATAATGTGATGAGAACCATACTTCAAAAACTTTATTCCACTGCCATGACAGATAGAAAGACAAATGAAAATAGGTATAATGCTATCACTTTTCCAGCAGATACCTCTTTTCCTCAACAAGCCTGTGGAGGTAAGACCTCTGTTTATTCTGACACAGAAAACAGAAATCCATGTACATATCAGTCCATCTTCAATATTGGAGAATTGAGAAAAAGAAATGTAGCTGAAGATATTCTACAGTCAGTATTAACAGATTTAGAAACATTTGCTACTTCCAAAGTAAATGCTCTCTTTTTTCCTCATATGGATTTCACTGTTAAAATGTCTTTGCCTTTACAGTGTGATGAGGCTGCTTTAAGCCAATCATGGTTATCAACCAAAGATTCATATCCTGATGATCAATTTTCCTGTTGCTCAATGGACCATAATATGTTCGGAAAGACCACCTCAATATGTCAAGGGACTGCCTCTAAATTAAATATATGTGCAACAGAAGTGGCTAGACAGATTTTACAAGAAATCAAGCATAAGCTAGATAAAGGAGTAAAAGGTCCATTCTTCACTCATAATGTGATTTCTGAAAATATTCCAGGTCAGATTGTTAACACAATGTTAGATATTGTGTCTACTAAGGGCAACTATGAAAAGAACATATTTTATAGAGAGACTGATTCAGGTCAGTCAGACTACCTTGTTGAAAAGTTGTTTAATAAAAGTGACTATAGGAAAAAACTTCAATTTCAAATATTGGATACCATTGAGGGTATCTTAAATGACATATGTGAGAAAATACTAGATGAAAGCAATCTCCCACATGCTGCTTCCACTCTTAAATGTAGTGTAAGTGGGAGGCCTTTAGAAGTAAATTCTGAAATGGACAGTGAATGTGCAAATAAAGCCCTTCCAATGCTTTTAGTTCCTAAGTCCTGTGTTGCTATGATTTCTAGTGATATGGTGGCTATTGTTCTTCAAAATCTCAGTTCTGCTATCATAGTTGGCAGAAATGCAAAGGATTTGATTTTTCCAAGATTGCCCCTGACAGTTTCTGATACAATTCCTAAGGCAGAATGCCAGCAATCTGCTGTTACAGACTCAGTGAATGAAGGGAAGAGATTTCCATGTGCAAGGAAGGAAAGAGATGAACGATTGAAGTCCACTTATTTTGATCAGACAACCATACTTAAGAAACAAAATGTCAAGAAATCTGCTCTTGACCCATATGACGAAAATGCTCACTTCATTACTAAAACTATTTTGAATAGATTAAAATCTTTTGCCACAGAAAGAATAGATTTGCTCTTTTCTCTTGATAGTCAGACTAGAAAAAAAATATTTGCTGGCTCAGAATTTACAAACTGTAAGCAAGATGACAGTGTATTTCTTAAATCGAACAAAGTACCGTCAAATGTAAATATTCTGAAAATGTCAAATAAAATCATTCCAAGTCAAAAGGACATAGGTGACATAGCCACTAATTATGGGGGAGAATGTGAACCTGCAATTCAGATACCACAAGCTTGTCTTAAGGAATATGCTGACATAATTGCCAGTAACATTTTGATGTTTATAAAAAGTGATGTAGACCTAGAAATCCAAAAGATGTATTCATATCCAAACAATACTTCACTGCAAGGAAATATCATTGCAAGTGAAACTGTAAACAACATCTTAAAGAGGTTACATGATAAAATATCTTTAAAGACAAGTAGTTTCTACTCAAAGCAGGACTCAATTCTCTTTATACAAACAGCTGAACAAAACGAAATATATCTGGCTCAAAGAAAAACAGAAGACACTGAACTGTCTCTCTATTCAAAATGCCCAGATCAAAACCTGATAACATCAGAAGCAAAAAACCTGAGAAAGGTTTTGGGAGAAATATTTAGAAATGGAGAAAACACAATTGCTTTATTGAATGAAGTTAAGTGCATTTTACAGAAGGTGAATAGAAAGGTAATGGAAGACATAGCCCACTGGCCTCCATTTCACGAACCCCCTCACTTTACATCTCATTCTAAAATTAAAACAGCAGCAGCTGAAGAGGCTCACAAGAAGACCTTGCAGTCCCATATAAGTAGTGTTGCAGATGATATAGTTGAAAATGTGTTCAAAGAAATGATCTCAATAGTTACATCTTTGTTAGAAAAAAATGAGACCAAGGGAGAATTGGGAGCATCTGGCAGTAGTGAATTACCAGTGAATACATCATGTTTTAGAGGACTGAAAGAGGCAGAAAAAAGAAGTGTTTCCCCTGAATGTGTGTTACTACAAGTTTATCCTTACACAGGCATTAAAAATGTCACTTCATTGGAAAACACCTTGCAGTTTTCTCCCTTACAAATGAGTGAAGAATTGGTCCAAATAGTTCTCCAAAAGATCACAAATTTTGCTTTGCTCATTCTACAAGAGAGCTCATTCAGCGATGGTCAGTCTGATGAAATGAGATCATTGAGGTCAGGCAGTTCTAAAATTAGTCCTAAAGTCAGCCCTAAGTTAAGTTTTAAAAACAGTTTTAAAACAAAATCAAAAGTTGTCTCTTTACCTAAATTTGAAACAAAACCCCAGCTAGAACCTAGTGGCACTAGAGCCAAAGACAATACCAAGTTAGATCTTGGCGAGAAAACGCTGAGAGACAGCTGTTCCGAGACCACCATTGGGCTGCCCTACCTGTTATTTACAGGGGATGCCAGAAACTTCTTACCTAGATCAAAACTCCCCATTCTAGAACTAAAAGTGTATGCTAAGGATATAGTAAGCAATATTCTGGAAGCAATCGTGAATGAATTTCAAAAGGTGAGGCAAGCAAGAGCAATGGTAAATGTAAATTATTTACCTTTAGTTCAAATTGTGACCGCAAGTGAAATAGTTAATGCAGTTTTGCAAGGATTGTATACTACAAAGAACAATTTGACTGACCCAATAAAAGGCTCATACTCAGATAATCTTGAACTTTCACAGAAGAATTTTAGCACATTTTATACTGCAAATCCAGAAACCCTTGTCTCTCTGGAGAATGTTTCTTCACAGCTAGAGAAAATCTTTACTAAAGATGTTTCTAAACAGATGTTTGATAAATGGCGAACAGAATCAGGTAGCATGGAAAATGAAAGATATAAGCTATTGATGATAGCTAAGACTAGTTTAAATGAAATTTCAATGAAAGCAAAAGAATTAGAACCCTATGTTTCACTTTTAAATTTGCCTCCTCTTCAGGCTTGTGAAAGCAGGTACCATAATTTTAAAAGAGCTACTTCTAAAGCTGAGGATTCCCAGGCACAAATTAATATATTTGCACAGGAAATTGTTGAAAAGCTACTTGAAAAATTAGAGTTGTGCTTCTTGACTCAAATGTTCATAAAAGAGAGTAAAGAAACTCTAGAAAGCAAGGAAGAAACTACCACTGGAAGTAAACATGGTTCCTTAAGAACAACCAGCCTTGACAATATACCAACTTGTAATGCACAGTTGAAAGACAAAAAATTGGGGGGCTCTAACCACCCAATCACTGAAGTGATCATAGAAGGAGTTATGAACATCTTAGTGTCATTTGCAGACCTACAGTTTAAACATATCTCTACATATGCTTTTTCTGAAATTGTGAAAAGACCTATCAAAAGCTTTTTTGATCTCCAACAGAAACCATCGACAGCGATACTGCCAAAGTTACCACCACTGACCAAATTTCCTGGTGAATCTCAATCAAGTAGTATGATAACACAAGAAAACATACAGAATAGCCTTCAACAACTTAACTCATTCCATTCAGAATTGCTTACTTATACTGCTAATACTGTCAGTGGCATGCTTGGTATAATTAAGAGCAAGCTATACAAAGCAAAATGTCAAGTGGAACCACCTTCAACCAATGTATTTGAAGAAAACCTGATAGAAAGTCAGATCAGCATACTGATGGATCAGTGTACCCACTGCCACAAAACAACAATCACAAGACATCCAAAGGAAAATCTTCTGGGAGCTGAAGATGTCTATGCCATTAATCAAGCAGAATTTGCAACAAGGTTGGGAATGCCCACTTTAGAGTTAAAAGGAGCTGACAGTGGGGATGAGCCTCCACAAATATCTAGCTTATTTAATGCAGAGGAAGATAAAATAAAGGTCACATCTTCCTCAAATCTACCTGCCTATGTCAGATACTCTGTAGAAGATACAGGTAAAACCACAGAAATTGAATCAGAAAGACTCAAATTAGAATGTAAGCCATCATTTTCTGGAAGTGAAGCCCAAGGCTCCAGCTGTTTTTATCAAGCTGTGGAAAAACACAGTTCTCACCCAGAAGGCATTGTCTTACAGAAAACATCTCAGCATTCCAGTGGCTCAACACAAGCAGTACTAGAGGACCCCATGTCCCTCAGTGAAGTGAAAAGTGAAAATCAAGGCATGCTTCAATGTAAGTCCTCCAAACCAGTTGTTACGCCAAACCAAAAACAGACAACCATTTCACCACTCAAGATACATTTAGCTGCAGAAAATATTGTCAATACCACGCTGTTGCATTACGGCCTTACCATTGAAACCCCACACACTGATGAAAATGTAGAAACAATGACGCCATTTTTGGTACCAAAGGAATGGTCTCCTATAACAGCCGAAGAACAAAAAGACCAGAAAAGTTTACTTCACATATGGGGAAAAAGAAATATCTATAAAACTAAAGAAGAAAATAAAAGCCTTATAGCAAGTGGAAAAGGTCTCACTTTACTAGAAAAGTGGAAAATTAAGTACTCAAAGTTAAAGAATATAGCAACTCTTGAAGAGGTTGAAGTCATTGCTTTTGCTGATCAAGAACTAGGACCATGTGAAATCCATGCAATAGCAAGATATGTCACTACATCTGTGGTCATACATTTAAAGAACTTCAAAACCAGAGGTGAGTGCAGGATGACTAATAGAGTCTGCATGATTTTAGGGGAAAATGTCAATGATAATTTAAAAAAAAAAAACTGACACATCCAAGACGTTACATTCACTGCTTCTCTGAAAATAGCATTAGATTCGGGGTGACTGTTTATCTACTTGTGTGTTTTTCAGCTGGTCACTATGCTAAGAAAAAAGTTACACATTTACATAATTTTTATTTGTAGGCATGCTGTTCAGCTCTCCCTATCTGCAGGTAGATTAAATGGGCATAATTTAAAGCAGAATATTTGATTAGGTATGAAGTACGACCATGAAACAAGACCAGTTATCTTGCATGGTACATACAACTGCTATAAAGGCAATTTCCAAAGAGAAATTGCAAGAGTTTTTTTTTAAGTTCTTTTAAAAAGGGACTTTACATTATTGTCAGACCTTAGTTGATTGACTTTAAATAACGATCCAGGTTCTTTTTGAGGTATAAAGTTAAAATCTTTGCCGTTATTACTGGCAGAGTTTATAAGAACAGTGGCATTAAACTTTTTATTCTGTTCATGTTCCTAAATTCATTTTAGGTATAATACTCTATAAGCTCATGATGACGAATATGGTATCTATGCTCCCTTTCTGTGATTGCTTATATGCATATATTGGGTTAAACCATATGAAATAGCCATTTTTGTATGTCAAAAACTTTCAAACATCGGTAGTATCATTCAGTTCAATTTACTATGTACTATATAATCACAAAATGGGTAATTTGCTGAACAGCTGATAATGTTACAAAAATTCTAAGCCTCTTGATATCATTGGAATCACTCTAGAATATTATCACACTGAAGCTGGAAATCATTTCTTTGCTCCAGGATTTCCAGCTTCTTAAAGCAGCAGCTATCCAAGGAAGAAACCAGTACTTAGAGATTTGAATTTTTCTGGTCTGTTTTCTTAACTTCCAGGGAAAGAGTCCACAGCATGGCTAAGTTTTTCTATGTCTTGAGTGAGGGTACACCCAAAGTGAAATTCATGTATAATACCAGTATTCTGAATGGTCATCATTTTTCCATAATGCATGTTTTCTGTTTTAAGGTCCTCTTGATGAAAAAGTACCTATTGCGTCCACATTGTTGAGGAAAAGATATAAATCAAAACAGCCTTTAAGAAGCATCAACAGTGATTCTTCACTTAATCAATTTTGTGAACATCTCACTGAATTGGTTATTTTCTATGTAAGTTCTAGCATTTCTGATTGCGCCGAAGACAGTGGAAAACAGAAATCATTGGCAATACCAGATTCAACTTTTAAAAGGTTTATTTTAGTTAAGTCCCAACTGTTTGGGAGTCGGTCATTTTCTATTAGTGGACTTGCTTTGAACACTTCTGAAATCATTATTCAAATCCTTTTTAATAGTGGCATTTTAAAGGCAGATATACAAAAAGTGCTTCAGGTGAAGACAGAATATATTTACTGCCCACAAGTAATTGTGACTCAGTTTGACGATCTCTTTCAGGATCTCTTAGTAGGAGTGACTCACGTTTTGTCCAGAGAACTAGGAATAAATCATCAGCCTGACAGCAAAGGAAAAAACAAATTGCTTCCAGTACTTAAAAGTCAGAGGTTGCCCATTGGCAACAAAGCCAAAGGGATGAAAAGACAAGCAGGCCCTGGAGGTTGTAAATCATCTCCCACTCGTCTAATTAATCAACTAGTACAAAAAAATAAACTAAAATTTCTGGCATATAAATTAGACACTCTAGTTGGTAGCCTAAAAACTCATGAATCTAAAGAAGTAGCTAATAAGATTTTTGATATTGTTTTAGATGTGTTTTTGCCAGATGAATGTCCAAATTGGGATACGGAGTCTTGTAAAATAGCAAGAGGAATGTCCCTCTCTTCAAATAACCAGCAATATCCTAGAATACCTAGAAATAACCTACAGTTCTCCCCAAAATCAGTTTTTCTTATGAAAGTTGTGTGTGAAAACAGACTACTTTCAGAAAAATATCCAACCAAGAACTTTCTTATAAATAGTCCTTTTGCTGATGCAGTATCCACAGAACATCAACTATTCAACATACTTCAAGATGTAGAGGATTACTGCAAGGAAATAATATGTGGCTCACCATTTGAAGGATATGATATGTCAGACATGGATCAAGAATATATGCTTAATGTTATTTCTCACAGCTTAGTAAAATCCTTGATGGATAAACTGTTATGCAGCATGCAGCCAACTCCCAGAAGGCCAGCTTTTACAAATGAGCAATTAACATATAGAAAAAGAACAAAACTTCCTAGTTTTCCCAAAACAAAAAGACCAGAATTAAAAGAATCAAGACAGGGTAAAGACTCCATAAGATCCACGAGTTATGACAGCAAGCCTTTGACAGCATCAGCGAATAATCTTAGGGCAATTCATTCCAAAATGCAAGCCCCATTTGGTAGACAATTTTCACAAAAATTTCCTTCTCATTCTCTTCAAAGACCAGGTGAAGAGGAAGTGAACTCAAAGGCCATTCTTAATATGCAATACCCAGAAGGCATGTACACAGGAGTTTACTCTGCCGCATTTCTGGAGGAAATAATTGTAGACATTTTTCTCAATCTCTCCACTTCATTGCAAGGCAGAAACTTAAACATCACTAAAACCCAACTGAATGAGATGATAATACTAGATGCCATCTCTGTGGTGAATGAGTTTAATAGTGCACGAGTCACTGTTTTGCGGAATATTGTAGAAAGGAAATGTTTTCCACCTTTCTCTAAAGAAACTGTTAGTAAGATTTCTGAGTCCGTTTATAGTGATGTTTCATGCAACTATGCACGGCACATTACCTGTGGCAGTCATCTGGCACATGCTACCACCTCAATAGCAGAACAGATAACTAATGGTATATTGAGGGAGAGTGTAGACTACCAACTCCCAGTGTGCTTCATAGGAAAGCTCATGCCTAGTTCATATTACCCTCTCAATGCTGAAAATATACTGCAGAAACTTCAAAACAATCTGAGAGAACTGAATTACCAAAGTCAATATTTAACTGGCTATAGTACCATGTTATCATACTCATTTTTAGAAAATGTCATCAGAAGACTGTTATCTCAGTTCATTCCTCCACCCCATAAGTCTTCTTGCTTGGAAAAGAAATATTTAAGAACTTCAGATTTTAATGAGATATCCACCTGTATAATAAATAAAGTTATGTTAACCATTTCAAAGCATAAGATTTGGCTCACTAAGTATGATTGCAAATACCTATGTACAGAAAAAAACCTTCAAAATATGGTGGAGTCTATTTATAATAATATTTTGCAGATGTCTGATTCTCTCGGGTCAATACAAAAAAGTATAATAAGCCAAAGCCCAATTATGGTTGACCAAATAGCTAGTCTCATTATTCAAGAGATTATAGAAAAACATCTTCAACCCTTTTTGTGTGGAGAGGGCTTACCTCATTCACTGGCTCCATTGAATAAAATACCAAATATGGTTAAAGAGATTCTCAGTGAAGTCACAGAGTCACACAGACTCCAGAAACCATCAACACTAGGGATGGATTTTTATCCTCATACATTTGTAGAAGAAACTGTTGCCAGGCTTTTATCAAAGGTATTCAATCCAAAATATAACTCTGAGTGTGAACTGGATAAAATCACCCAAAAAATAGTAAGCTCAATTAATAACCATTTTAGCAAAGCTAAAATCTGCGTTCTTCGTGATGACCAAGAGCAGTCTTTCCCCAGTGTAGATGTAGATGCTGTGGATAAACTTGTCAATTCAGTTTATGAGAATGTTCTGAAATGGCAATGCCTGGAACCAGAAGTCGATACTAACATACTCAGGGACAGTGATATTTTTGCAGAAAATATTGCCAATTTAATTGTAGCAGCAATTTCTGATTATCTTTTCCATCCACTGTTTTCTGGGGATTTGTCAACTTCATCCTATGCTATGTTAACAGCAGAGAACATTATTCAGAACATCTTTAGTGACATCAGTGAATCTACCAACCCAAGCCAGCATTTTTCTCCATATAACACCTTGGTGCCTTACACATTTTTGGAAGACATAATCAGAGTACTGTTAATGAGAATTTTTCCTTCTGCATTTAGCATGGCTCCATTCTGTGAAAATCTCAAAGATAAATCAGGAATTCATTGCAGTGAAATCTCTTCAAAGTTAATTGATGATATTAAGATGAAAATTTCCCAACATGAAATTCAATTTTCAAAAGATGAAGAAGGAACTAAATCTGTTTATTCAGAGGATGCTGCTCAACATCTCGTTGACTCCGTATTCAGCAACATCCTGCAAAACTTTGGGCCCCAAGAAACAATTGAACAAGATATCACAAGCACTAACAATGTTCTCATCGATAGAATAGCAGGTTTTATCATTAAAAATGTCTGTGAGCAACATCTTCATCCTTTTGTGTGTGGAAAGTCATCACTTCCTCCTTCATCTACATGCTTTGATGATGCCAAAAGGCAACACTCTTTTGCCCGTGTTTACTCTTCAGCCCTTTTGGAAGATGTGATCTCTGGGGTTTTAAGCAAAATATTCCACAGGATGTTTGGTATTGTACAAACAAAATCATTAAGAGATTCAGAAAAAGAACTGTTGCAGAAAGCCGAAAAACTCATATATTTGATAACAGAGGAATTCTCAAAAGCTCAAGTTAACAACATAGAAAATGCTAAGGAACAATTGTGTTTGCCACCAGTACATAAAGACATAGTGATCAAAATTATTGATACAGCATACAGCAAAGTTTTACAAGAATATGAACTGGAACCTGATACGGACTTTCTCAGTGACACAAAGACATTGGCTGAAAGGGTAACTAAAATTATCATGGGTGAAGTTTTTGATTTGGGGATTCATCCAGATTTCATAGCAAAACTGCCTTTACATTCATATTCAAAACTCAATACTGATGTTTTGATGAAGAGAGTTCATTACGCTATTAGTAATTCAAGAGTCTGTAGACAGACTTATACAACATATACTACCATATTATCACATACACATTTGGAAAAAATAATCACACAAGTTTTATCGCAGATAAATCTATTAAATTGCAATGCAGGAGACCCAGACTATTCACAGTCAGACTTCAATAACACAGATACGAGACTGATTGATGAGATCATGTCAATAATTTCTAAACATGCAATATGCATTATTAAACATGGAAATGAAAAACAAAATGTGATTTCAGAAAAAGATATAGAGATTATGGTCAATGCCATTTATGCTGATATTTATCATTCAAATTTATACCGCTCTCTTACAAAAGATAAAAAAGACTTAAGTAATATACCTGCTACAAAAATAGCAAGTTATATAATAAAAGAACTGTTTAACCATCACCTTGAGTCATTTTTATCTGGAGATAAAAGTCTTCCTTCAGATACAGTTGATGAGATTTATCAAACGAGAGCAGTAGATCCTAAACAAAGGGAGTTAGCTCTCATTGTGAATTCAGCTGTCTTTTTGGAGGAAGTAATTTCTAAGCTTTTATGCAAAATCCTTTATACATTCTCATATAATGACTTCACTGCTGAAAACCCACATAAAGCAAAAGCCGACATTACTGACATTGTTACAATATTAGTAAAGTCAGTTGTCCTGGAGTTCACCACATCACAGATTCTAGTTACAGATCACTTGGATGAAAACCTGTATATTTCAGTGACATATAATGAAATGGTTAAAAAAGTGGTCAACCAAGTGTATGAAAAAATAACTGATTATAACGCTATACAAAGCGATACCATCAGTCTTGGAAAAAATATATATTATTTACTGTTAGAAGAAATTTATGATTATCAGATAGAGTCATTAGTTTGGGGAGAATTAGCAATTTCTTCCTATTCCTCCCTCCATGAAGAAAACATCATCAGAAATGTGCTTGACATCATCAACAATGATGGCAATGTCTTACCATCATGCATCACTGTATTGTCTCATTCCATTTTAGAAAATATGATTTTCAAGCTTCTGGCACATATGTTCCCTTCATCTGAAACTGGACTAAATGAAGAAAGGGTATCACCAGATCATGAGTTTGTGGATGCAGCTTCAAAACTAACTGATGAGATTATAACAGAAATTTCTGAACATGAGATTAGGCTTGCCACAGCAGACGAGCATGCACCAAGTATGCAGTTAGGGGCAATTGAGAACTTTGTTGACTCCATATGTAACCATATAACGAAAAACTTTAAATTCCAAGATGAAGCACAAAAAGATACATGTAAAAAGGGAGGCTTGTTCCTCAGACAAATAGCTAGTTTTATCATGAAGGAAATTATAGCCCACCATCTGCAGCCATTTTTGCATGATGAAGACTCACCTCTCAGGTGCTTACCTGAAGCAGACCCTGCCACTGAACTCTTGTATCCTGGTAAGGAAAAAATACAGTCCTCCCCACAACCTTCTATATATCCTGCTGCATTCTTGGAAGATGTTGTAATTGATCTTACTCGCAAATTTTATAGTCTCATGAGTATCACTGAAAATCCTAAAGACAAAGAGCTATCAGAAAGAGACCTCATGGGCATGAGTATAAAATTTGTAAATGCCCTGATAGGGGAATTTAGGAAGAGTGAAATTAAAGTTCTAACGAATGCTGAAGAAATGCCTTCATTTCCACCAGTAGATAAAGGGAGAATCAATAAACTATCTGATTCTGTGTATGACGAGGCCATGGAAATCTATGGATCTAACAATTTTCCAAAATATGCCAGAAATAAGACTGCTATAGGGATGATTGCTACGTTAGCCCTCAAGGCAATCTCTGCTTTCAAGATTCAACCACTTTTTTCAGGAGGCTGGTCTACCATCTTCTCATTTCTAGATGTAGATAACATTATCCAAAGAGTCCAACACCTACCAAATGACACCTTTACAGAGATAAATGGAAGCTTGAAAGTAAATCCAGTTTCTTCACCTGAACAATCATCATCACGTACTCCTCTAACTTCAGACCTCAAAGACAAAATGGGCACTTCAGAAGCTAGTAAAGGAGCACTTAATAGAAAAGATAATTTCAAAAGTAACACTGATGATCTGTTCCCTTCTACTATAACTAGCATTATGAAGAGCAAAGTAACTTCCCTAGCACCAGGTTTACCCAAAGATGGGGCAAATAAAAAGGGGAATGAAACAAAGAAGGAAAGTGCAATTGGAAAAGGTAAAGAGAAGTTATCAGAAGTCACCTTAACAATCAGTGAGAGAAGTCAAGATATTCAGGGGCGAGGCTGGAGTCCAGCCCTGACAAAGAATGAAATCAAGAAAGACAGTTTGGCTAGAAAAGATGAGAAAGGACAAGCTGATGAGTTACACCATTTTTCATCAGCTACTGATGACACAAACAACAAAGTTATATCTGAACCCAATGTAAAAATCTATAAGAGTAGCAAAAAAAGAGAAAGTTCATTAGAAAAAGAATTACCACATCTGAAATCTGAGGTGAGAAACAGAGGGAATCAAGAGGAGAGGACAGATTCTCCGGCTGACAGAATCATGGGTAACAAACTGATCTTGCATCCACAAAATATCACTGAAAGTATTGACAGAAATGCCTTAGAATTATATTCTTGCCAAGACCCAATAAATGATGCAAAACCCCCAAATTGCCTTGGTGATAAAGCCGCATATGTAAAAGCCGATGACAAGTATTTTGCAGAGCCTACTTCAGTGGAGACAGCTCAACAAAATGCTCCTGCGAAAAGGGGAAAGAATGAGAAAAGGAAAGATAAAGAGATCAATCTTATGATTCCACCAGAAAATAACCTGAGGATTTTCCCTGCCAACTTTTTGGAAGATATCATCTCTGAAATAATTAACAAATTAATTTTCTCTTCCTCACCAGGCACCGATGATTATGATGCAAATCAAGATGTAACTGATCATGTAAATCAACCTGAGCTCTATGACACCGCTATAAAACTGATTGATTCCCTACTGAAGGAGTTTTCAGATGCTCAAATTAAAGTATTAAAACCCAATCAGGGAAGTAAGTTCCTACCATCGACAGATCCGATCTCATCAGTTTGTGAAGTACCTCTCAGGCAAAAAGAGCCCTCTGTGGCTAAAACATCTCCTGAGATAAAAATGACAGTTATGGATAAAGCGCCACGGATGCCTAAAATGGCTACTGAAACATCTTCAGCTGAGGCACTTTTAATGACTGAAATACCATCCATTGATAAAATGTTGGTCAACAAGATAGTTCACTCGTCAATCTGCAGAACCTTACAGGAGTATACGTCCCGAAGCTCCATTTGTAAGGACATAAATAGTAACGGAGAACATCTAGCAAGAAAACTATCCAATGCAGTAATGAAAGAAATTGTCCAGCATGAAATAAACTTGCCACTTTATGATGAGGTTCCAGCTTCAGTGTGTTTGCCCCTAGAATCTAAGGAGGTTATGAAAAGGGTCCGGAGGTTTGCCCAAACAGCTTGCAAAGAATGTCAAACTTCCTCGCCATATACCATAATGCTGCCTAATGATTTTTTAGAAAATATAGTTTCTTCCCTTCTATCAAAAATCTTCTCGAGAGTACTCAACACTAAAACAGAAATATCTGAGGATAATTTGTCCTCAGAATTGGATTTCCTTCAAATGAAGTTAGTAAGTACAATTATGGTGCATATTTCCAACGATGAAGATATGATTCTGCAGAATGTCAAATCCTTACATCCTAATGATGATGAAATTATTCAATTAGTGGCTCAGACAATTTACAATAATCTCTTGCCACAATTTGGATCTCAAGAGAGCATACAACATTGTGTCAGTAGTGGTTGCAAAATACTTTCAGAAACCATAGCTAATTTGGTTGTACGGGAAGTGGCTGGCAATCAGTTGCAGAATTATTTTTCTGGAGAGTTAACACCACCTCAGTGTACAGAAGCTGACATTGTTGTTGAAAATATCCTTAAAGATATCATCCAAACCTCTGAAGTTCCCCAGCCTCAGCTGTCACAGACTTACAAGCTACCTTTTAACATAATAGAAGAAATTGCTGTAAATTTGTTGTCAAAGCTTTTATCTGTGTTTCCAAAAGTGGAAAAGAAACAGAGCAATTCTCTAAATACTGAAATGCAAAAAATAATCTCAAAAATCCTAACTTCATTCCAAGAATATATATCCAGAAGTCAGATTACAGTTGTCCCGCAAACCCAAGAATCATGCACTCTATCTTTAGCAGACAGCACAAGTATTGAAAAAGTAGCTACTACTGTTTATAATAGTGTTTTAAAACACTCTGGCTCCCATATGTCAATGTATAAAGATTTGATGGGCAAAAGCAGTGTCCTCTCTGATATAATAGGATTTTTAATGGTGAAGGAAATTTCCAGTTCAGAATTTCATCAAGCAAAGGAAGAAGCATCAAGTACAGAGCTAGTTTTTGAAACTATTAGTATTATGGAAAAAGTGGTTAAGATTATTGATGACCTTAAGTCAAAGGAAAAGCCTTCAGCTGAGAAAGAGACTGTGTTAGATGCTAAGGTTGTAGAGGAAATGGTTGCCTTGTTCTTGGCTAAACTAGTGAAGTTGCCAAGTGCCTTAAACAAAGATGCTAAAGACTTATCAAAGCCTGAATTAATTAAACTTGCATCTCAGTTGACAAAATCAGTGACAGCGGAACTTTCCAGGAATAACATTAGTGTTAGAGCTGCTAATCCTGAAGAAAATATTTTAAATCCAAAAAGTATGAAAATTATTTCTCAGATGGTCGATTCTGTTTATAATCTAGTATTGCAACAATCTGGGACATACAAAGAACTGTATTATGATATCAAAGTTGCCAACCACTTCTTCCCTAAAGAAGTAGCTTCATTGATTGTCAGCAAAGTTTCAAATTGTCCACTCGAAATGATTAGCCCAAAAGATTCAAATGCTGATCTCTTTGGCAATCTGGACGTCAGTCAGATTGTTGAAAAGGTGCATGAGCATGCTGTTGAAATGGAACCTGAGCTAGAGCCATATGCATTAGATCAAGATTTAAGTGAAAAGGATGTTCCGATTAAAATAATTCCTCACCGTGGAAAACAACCAATCAAAATCGACCCAGACATTGTTGCAGGTCACTTAGGAGTCCTATCTATTAAAACACAACCTCTCGAGAAGCTTCAGATGGACTGTTTGGCTAGAACCAGACATAACATTGAAACCCTAAGAAAAGCATCAATAAGTGGGAGGAATTACTCAATATACCATACTCCTGATGAAGGAACAAGAAGGAAAGAAAAACGCATCTCACTGGATAAGGCCGGAAGACTGAATGTAAAGCCTCGTGAGGTAAGTGCAAAGGCAGTGGTTGAGAAGAAATTGGTTGTGAGATCTGGTTGTCCTGTGATTTTCTTCCTTAGGTAGATTATACAGATGCATGTGATCAGTTTTCTCCTGCCCAGCCCACTAGAATTAGGCACTCTGATTCATCCAATAGAGTTTTCTGCTTTCCTTGCATTTACCCCTTCAGTACTGTGGCTCAGTGTAAAGGTGACAGGCTAATAGAACTAGATAACAATATAGGCAAATACCTTTAACAACAAACCAGGTTGATTGAAATTGTAATACTCATTTGGTGACTTGGGAGAAATGTAATGTTTACAAATGCCTGTTCTTTTTTTAAAGATGTACATAGTCATAGTAATATGTGGGTCCAAAAGGACCAGGTAGGATATCAGCTAAAACAGCCTCTATCAGAGATTTAAATCCTCATCTTAAGATACCATGGTAGAGTGTTGTGTGTATTTAACTATCAAGAAACATTAAACTGCAAGCTCTTCAGAGTTCTTTCATTCTTGTTACATCACTTTCATTACACAAGACCCTTCCACGTCCCCATACTCTTACATCCTCAGGACATACCCAATTTCATTCCTATTTTTCCTACTTTATCCTTATCCTAGACCCAGTTGCTTTATGCTACTAATTTATGAACCAGTTTCTCTGCTCTGGAGGTACTTAAATAATGAGAAATTGAAACACCAAAAAGTTTTCCTTGATACAAGTCAACTACTTAGAAAGAAATAGTTCTGTTCACTGATCTTAGGGCACAAGGACATAGGGATGGTCTTGTCAGAGGTGGAGTTACACTGCTCCCACCCCACGTCCTCATGTAATACCAGAGCCCCTTGGATCAATGAGCCTCATGCACTTGTGGTTTGCATTCTCACTAAAGGGTGTAGCCTGTGACTACACGCTGAGCAAAGTTCTATAGAACCAACTACCTGATGCATGTTTCCCTTAGCCTTACTTCCCAATCCATTGAACTAAGTCTTAGAGCTGATGACTACTTTGATGGGTTTGTTTTTTGTTTTTGTTTTCTTGGTCTCAAATACTGAGATTATCATGGACTCAGGTGGAATCTCCTTGGTCCTTACTTTCTTGGACAAGATGAATGTCCCTTCCAGCTCTAAAATGTCCTTTTCTTTCTGGATTCTCAAAATAACATTACTGTTTACTTAGTGAAGTCTTCACTTTTATTTAAGTAATTCCTTGGACACAATCTGTGTGCCTACAGTGTAGAATATCATTCCCAAATCGTTCCTCCTTAATCATCTGCAGAAACATCCTTCAGTTCTTGGTTACCTGCTTGCTTCTCTTGCATCTTTTATCAGCACTTTATCTCTTTATAGCCCAGAGGAAGTTGGAAGAGAATAACTAATCCAAAACTATACCTACAAACTTTCAGGGGAGCAAAAGCCTTCTGAGAAAAGTAAACATAGATAGCTCATCTAAGACAGATCCTTTGTGGTTATCTGGATAGCAGTGCTAGACAACACCTGGGCTGTTCCTCAATTAGAGATCTACAAACAGGGCTTTATTTATCATTTTAAGGTACCAAAACTCCGCAGTATACCAGACACATATCCATTAAAGATTTATACAGTGACACATACCAAAGCCACATATAATGACTTTTGAATCATTGAACAGCTATTTCCTTCCACCACAGAAAATCAAAATTGATTGTTTCCATTTCTTATAGAAGTTCTTTCTGTTTTACACAAAGCATATTCCTTTAAGGCAGAATTTATCTGAAAATTTGGTGTTGCGGTGTCACAGAGATTTAAGATTGATAACTCAAATTAATGTAAAGTCTGCAGCATTATCCAAGGCTACAGAAATTAGACCTATCTTTTCCTTGATCTGTGTTTAACTTTGCAAAATGGAAAATAACATTTGACCAGGGAGGTGAGAAAAAATGATTTACTCTTTGAAGCTCCCTTTGGAAAATATGTCCAAAGGTTTAGTGTTTAGTGGGGTGAGGAATGACCATTCAGAGTCCTTCACAATTGAGCTATTATTCATCATTTTAAGAATCCAAGTAAGAATCCAAATAAGAATCCAAGTCAGCCAATACCTTGTCTTTTTTCATGAAATTGCCTGTACTTGGAATGCTGTATCTGTGGTTAAATTGTTCTATAATTAATTCCCTACTACGAAGTTTAGAAAACATGTTATCCCCATGCTTACATCTGTTACAAAACTTTCAAGGTAAGTGATGGAATAGAATGTAATTAAAGTATCTGTACCCTTTGCATTTCTTGAAAAGTAAAAAGTTTGAAGCAAAAGAAAGAACCCTAGGTTCTTTTCTTTGGACTGCAGTGAAAATTTTGAATATAAAGTAATTATAGAAATGAACAAATATTGCTTATCATTCGCACTTAATTCTTTTAAATATATTACTTGTGTATAAGTAAATGGCATTTGAAGATAAGTAATTTTTACTAAATTGAAACTAAAGTTGAAAATTGCTTTATTACAATAGAAACACAGGAAAAGTGACTAAAGCAATTTTTTTTCACATTGTCTCTTCAATTCCAGGCTGCTAGTAGGAATTCATTTCCGAATTTAATGAAGCCTGACATCACCAAAGTGGAGCTTTTGAAAGATGTCCAGAGCAAAAAGGATCTTATTATTAGATTAGTGATTCATGATATTAAGCAAGAAATTTCAGAAAATAATGAAGACGAGAGCTTCACTTCTGATGAAGATGAAGTTGTGTTACAAGAGATTGTCAAAGATGAATTTCCAGAAGGTCCACTCGAAGATCAAGTAAAAGAAGACATAAAGCCTATTACCAGCACAGCAGCCAAGCCACTGATGAACAAGAACAGTCTGGAAAAAAGTTTGTCATTTGGAAAAAGATGTCACCGCAAATCCGTTTTAACTACAAAAAATATTGAAGCATCACCAACTCAATGGACAGAATCTACAGATACACAAACAAAATTTATTTCTAAACCCTCAAAATTCTCAACTGAAACAGACCCTTCTTCCTTTTCGGGAATTAACACAGAAAGTGTAAGTGAGAAATGTGACTTGCAGGGCTGGGTTACTAAAGAAAAGGTATTTTCACACACTTAGACCAAATAAAGGATGTTGGGAGTCTCTCCCTACTCTGATGATATTTACCCCAAAAGGGAAATGATTAACAAATGAAAACAGCACCCTCAACTGGAAAAAAGGGAAGGAAAAAAAGAGTCCTAACAACGTGGAAACTAGTTAGGAGACATGCAAGCTGATTATTTAAAATAATAGGTGTCATTGTTCTCTGTACTCTGACCAGTAGATACTCATTGGAAGTTTTCTGCACAGAAACTCCATGCTAGTGGGCAGGACCATAAGAGAGGTCATAGGGGGGAAAAATCATACAAATTCAGCCTACCTGGGCTTGGATTCTGGCTTTGCCACTTTGTAGCTATGTGACCTTTGAACAAGTTACTTAATCAACCTTTTTTTGTTGAAATTTATTTGCCCAACTTGTTGAAACATGCAAGTTAATCAAAGTATGCTGAATATTCCCACTGCAGTCCACCCATAAATCTCACTATCACCCTCACGCGACGCTCCTATCCCTGGTCCTATATCCTAGTGATGGCTTCACTGACTTCTTGGGTTGACCCTCCCTCCAAAATTGTACCATACCATGTGTTTGGAGAATACATATGAATTGGGCTTTCCTGGCAAGACAGTTCTCTGGATTGTCCATTTATAATAGTTCCCAAATTGGCCCAGAAGCTGCAGTGAACTAGAGGAAAAACAAAAATACAGACTTACAGCTCTGGCCAGTTCAGGAGCTCCCAAGGTCAATATCCTTTACACAAACGCTGATTTATTTCCTGGGAAGCCATGTGAGATTTCATGACCAAATATAACGTGCCTGGTTTAAATGCTGGCTACATAGATAACTAAGCAAATGTAATATATTTTACTTGATTTATTGCAAATTCTTTGTGTAATTCCTGACTTGTACTTTTCCAGGTAGAAGAAATGAAATCTAGTACTGAACCGACAGATTACTTCATACATAGACTTATGAGTGCATCCTCATACGATGAAGATGATCTGCCTTCGTTTACTAGGTACATTCAGTTGAAACAATACGAGTTGATTAAGAAAATAAAAATCTGGAATGAAACTATATTGATAAGAAGGATGGGTTCCTCAGATAAACCTGGGAGGAAGCCAGCATTTAGCCCCTCAACCTCCCTTCCTTCACTCCTCTTGTTCCCCTCTATAGTTACTTCCTGGACCGCTCATCCCCTGCTTCTCACCCACTCCTATCTACCTGGCCTCTACTTCCCTTCCCTTGGGACCTGTGGTCTATTTATTATAGTTAGATTAAGTCTTTGACTAATGTATTAGACCCTTGAAGTTGAGAGAAAAATCTTGGGTAACAATAGGCCCTGCACTAATGGCTGACCTAAAGGGGTTTCTACTTAGTTCCCTTAAGCACCTAAATGCTCAAAAGTGTACAACTGACTATCAGAGGAATCCCAAGCATGGAGGGAGTGAGGTAAGCTGGAGCATTCAGGGAAGAATTCTCAAAAGCAGTGGCGTTTAAGTTGGGCGTTAAAGGATGGATAAGATTTAGATAAAATCATCTAAGTTGGGGGTGTCTGTAAGAGAAAAGCCAAAATAAGTGACATTCAACTGGATAAGGAAATTGTGTTAAATGTACTCAATGGCACAATACTGAGCTATTAAAAAATGTGAAATTGTGCCTTTTAGGACAATATGAATGGATCTTGAGGTAATTATACTAAGTGAAATAAGTCGGAAAGTGAAAGACTATTAAGAATGCCTTCATTCATTTGTGGAATATAAATAACCAAAGAAAGCAAACTGGCAAAACGCAACAAAAATAACTCTTAGACTCTGAAAATTGTAGTGGTTTCCAGAGGGGAGGAGGGTGGAGGAGGCACACTGCAGGGTGTGGGCGCTGGAGCTGTGTTGGCGGGGAGGGAAGCATGGGCACATGCCTGGAGTATGACTGTATAAATTTATAAATGAATAACAAATCATTAAAGTTGATTATATATGCATATCATGAAAACAAGAAAAACCAAACTCTGCAGTATCTACAGGGGACAGGGAGGAACAGAGTGGACTGTAGGCTTGGAATCTGATGTGTACTTTTTTCTAGAAGAGCCAAACCATATGTACAATTGTTACGTTTACAACAATATTCACAAACTGGGAGGAGCAGCACTTTGTATCATGGGAAAAAGAGTGTAAGGAGAAAAATCTCCCTGGTTGCAACTACGTTCTTTTCTGCCTGCCACGATGAAATTAAGGTTTCTCTTTGAGCTGATGCAAATTCACAGTATCTTCTCCTCACCCACCATTGATCCTACCTCCTGTCATGATTGTTCTAACATACATAATTGATAGTGCAGGCAACTCTCAATTATTGTATCGTTGGAGAAGGGAGGGGTGCATCCAAAATGAAATAAATCAATGCAGCAAACATTTTCATTTGTTTAGAGAACTCAAACCACTTCGGGTTTGCTCCTATGTGCATAATGGCTTTGACAGGTTCTTATCTTTCTACATACATAGAAAATGAAATGTCTCTTATCCTTTTTTAGTGAGGATGAATATCGTTCCCAAGATCCAAGCGCCAAAGTAACAGAAGGTTAGGTGGATTTTTTTTGTTTAAATTAGTACTTAAAAGGACAATTTGTTTATCGATTGTATTGATGAATCTTCCTGTTGTCAAACCTGAAGTTACTACTGAGTTTTCTAATAAATTGATGTGTTTTGAGGGAAGTACTGGCTCTATTAAGCAGTGAACATAAGCCAACTAGTTTACTTTTCCTGAATCACTAGTAAGATTTTATTAATTTTGGTGTGAAGTATGAAATATGATACTATGAATTTTAAAATTACCATGCTCCTCTGGGAAATATCCAGAAATAAGAGTTTATCACATCTCTATGTAGACTGGAACCCAAGCTACCAGGATTTGACATTTTTTAAATATTGTCTATTACCAGAGAATTGTGGGGTCCTTAGAAATCACCCCCAGCCTAATCTCTTATTTTCCATATTAGCACAAGGGCCCTTTGAGTAAGAGAGGTTGTGCAAGGCCATAGCTAGTTACCGAGTTGCCCCTCCTGAGGTCCTCCCCAGTGCTGCTTCTGCCAGTGCACACCACATCCGTCCCAGTGTCTCAGCGAGGAGCCAAGGGCTGTGCCTGGCATTCTAGCAGTCTCACCCTTTTCAGCTTTTTCTGATTACCCAATTTCTGTGATTCTTTGATAAAGTTACTGAGATTATTTCTGTGCTGAAATTTATACATTCATTTTCTAATATTTTGTTTTTCTCACAGATAGTCTTTACTACTCGCGTCTGGACAGGGACAATAGTGTTAAGGTGAGTCTTTTTCACTTCGTAGGGAGCCAGTGGAGCCATGGTAAAAATGACACTGTGGTCAAGGTAACTAAGGGGCTGCCTGTCAGTGTGCTTTGAGGGGCCTTAGGAAACACTGTCTTGTCCACACTTTTTCACACCCAAATCTATCTCAGCTACTGCAGTGTACCTGAAAATCCCTCTATCAAAACTCTCACTTTTGGGTCCAGCCATTGTCCTGTGTCTGTGCGTGGCATAAGCCACGGTGCCACTTAGCCCCTTAGGACAGTTTTGCTCTGGCAGCCTCTAGAGAAAAGCCAGACCAGAGGGAGATGCAGGAATGTGCTAGCCCTAGGTAACTTTGTATCTTGCTTCCTTATCCCCTTCTTGTCTTTGCAGAAATTCACCTCCTTGGTGAGGCCTTCCCTTACCACACCCATGTAAAGTAGACACACACTCCCCTGTCCCTCTTTATTTTTCTTCATAGCACTCAAGTCACCATTCATTCATTCATTCATTCATTCATGCAGCAGTGACTTATCAAGCACCTGCTATATACCGGGCACTAGAGCTAAAGCAGTAGAAGAAAAGGACTAACATTCCTGCCCTCCCCATCTCATACACTATATATATAGTCACTTTATTTTGTTCACCGCCTTAGATGTTTACCCAGCACCTAACACAGAACTGAAATACAGCAATTGCCCAACAAACTTCTGTTGAAAGAACAGCTCTTGCCATCAGAGCCAATTTTTTTAAGATTTATTTATGCATATAAGAACTGGGGTACAGGCCACAGATGAGGAGGGGTGAGAGGATTCACCAGAGACAGAGTGGGGACCAGAACAGGCAGACTGACTGAAACACACTGCTGAGGGGAGCAGCAGGCAAGTTCAACCCTGGCTGCGCATCGCAATCATCTGGCAATAAAAATAACTGATGGCGGGTCCCACCCTGGAGATTCTGACCACTTGGTCTGGGTACATCTAGGCCTTGGGAGGGCTATAAACTTGCCCGGGGACTTGCGTGGCCAGTCAGCATTGAGCAGCAGGCATTTGTGGCACCTGCCCCTCCTACTTTCTTAGGATCAGGACTCTCACACAGGTTGCACATTACAGACACCCGAGAACTTAGAAAGCTACTTGTACTTGACCCCACACCTCAGGGGTTCCTGCTAAATTGGGGTGGGCTCAACATCCTTATTTTCAAAATTTGTCTAGATGGTTCAGTTGTACAGCCAGGGCTAAGAACCAGTACTTTAGATTGGCCTTGTCCCAGTTTATCCCTGAAAGTATCCCAGTTTTTAAAATTTTAATCTATATACTGCTTCACATTCTCTTGTAAGAATGAGAGTCAAACTTCCACCATAATACTCTGTTCCCCATACCAACAGTACGAAATACCCTGCTGTCAGCTCTCGTGCATCTAGGCCTCACTTCACTGACTCATCACTTCCCTTTTAACCACCACCACCAAGTGGCTACATGCAGCCACCACCTTCTCCACCTGTTAGGTGCCCTTTGGGAATCCTGCTGCTCCTGCCATCCAGGAGATGGTAACCGTCCTCAAAGTGAAGCCGGCTCAAGGCCCCAGCCCGGCCCTGCCCCTCCATGCTCCTGCAGCCCCACGCTGCCACTTTCCTGCTGCAGATCTCATGTTAAGAATTCCTTAAAAGGAGGTTGGACATCTCATTCCTTGCAAGTGAAATAGATATCCCATGTCTCCATTCTCGCCCTATCATCATCTCCCAGAGAAGGATCTACAGTGTTTTATTGCTTCCAAGCTCCACAAGGAGGCAGAAGCAAGGCTAATGTTTTTGTGACCTGGCATACCTGAGTCCCTGAAATTATCCTACAGGATATCTGACGTCCAGGCTGGGACCAGCCCTGGGTTCATAATTGGCCAGCAATATAAGAAATAGCCAAAGCCCTGGACAATAATTCTTTGGCTCCATAGAACATCGAGATTATCGTGTACGATGACATGATGCTTGTGCTCTGTCCCTGTGGGTTTCTAGGTATTTCTAGTATTCACTGCCCAACAAAGGGCAGAGGATAAGCTGCGATTTCTCCTTTGTCTTGGCAGTTTGTCACCCTCTATCAACGTGAAAGTTGTCTGGACAAGCTGTCGTCTTCAAAAGAAGGCACTTCAGGTATAACATATTTATCATTTTCTACTAAAGTTCTCGGTGACATCATTTTAATTATACAAGTTTTAATTATCCCCCCCCCCTGCAATGAGTGGCTCATGGCTTGCAGCACCTCGATCCCCCACCAACATAGGGTTGAAAAAATTATACTGCCTGTAGATCATAATTTATAGTTGTTATGCAGGTCTGAGCTGAGCCTCACAGCGAGGGGCAGGGGGTGAGAGGTACTGGGAGTGGCATGTATTCAGTAGTGACTGTGGCGTTCTGCCCTGGCCTTGTCTCCCATCCACCCGGGGACCCACCCTGCAGTCGCTCCATTGCACTGACGACACAGCCACTGCTATGCTCCCCTGTGGGTCTTAAAGTCCTGTGCAAAAGCAAAGATGGAGGTAAAAGACCTACCACTGGTTGCACAGTCAGCAGGCGGCAGCACTTTCCCTTTGAAAGGAGTGAATTGTCAGCCAAAGGGTTGGTTCCCTGTGCCCCTAGGGATGAGCTTCGTGGGTGCTATTGACAGTGCAGAATCCTGGCCCCTTCCCAGCCTTGCCTAAGTCAGTATCTCAGGGAAATGAATTCCAAGCGCCTGCATTTTAAAACAAGATCCTCAAATTGCAAAATAACAAGCTCCATCCTCCCCCCAGAGAGATTTCCAAAACATGGCCTCACAGCACATGCATCAATCCTGCAGCTAAAAGTCTTTCTCTTGCTTTTTCACAGTAGAGATTCCTTTTCTATTCAAGCTTTTTTCTTCACCTCTGCAGAGTTTGGCTTTTTCTTTTTATGTCTTCATTGTTCTTATTTAAACTACCAACATGTGCTAGTACTGCATCATTAATTTGAAAAGCTAAACATTTTCCTCTTTATTTGGGGTTAAAGTTGCTGTCTGCCACCTTAGTTTTAATCATTGATTCTTGAGGTTCCCAAAGTAATATTGCTGAAAAGGTAAAACTGAGGTAACTGCAATAGGTAGAGAAGTACTTTGTCTTTTGTTTGAAGCAGGAAGGTGTGTGCTCTGTTGCCTGTGTTCATCACCTCTTGTCATGAGGCATCAGCAACACAGATAAATGCCCACTCTGTCCTCACAGATACAGCAATCGTTATGTTAGCATAAGCGATGATCTGCTTTAAGAGCTCTTTGCACAAAACAAGTGGTGCAGAAAAATGGGTCCAAATGGAGATTCTTATTGGCCACACAAGTGCTTTATAGCTCACAGGACAAACAGGTGACTTGGGGTCAGTCAACTGAAAACTGACTGAAAGCGAGTGAGAACGGATAGCCTTTTTAATGCACGACTGCTTTCACCCAGACATTAGGCAATGGACACTCGCACGGTCAAGAATGGAAGGTTCCCTCTTATGGAATTAGTTCATGTGGCTCTTTTGACAGACATCTCTTAGGATGAGGCAGGCATACCAGAAAGCCGGGGCACTACTGCAGCTTAACTGCTTTCTACCCACGGAACCTTGGACAAGGTGTCTGGCCTCACTGAATATCTCCTGCTCTCTTCCCAGGGTGTCAAAAGGAGCAAATACTTTGGGAAAGCATATTTAAAATCAAAGGTTACTATGTAAATGCTTTTCTGAATCCTAAATTTTCAATCCCCTAGCCCGACAGCCTCAGGTGGAAAACCCAATGACCATGTTTCTCTTTCGGTTTGTTCACAGACTCCAAAAAGCCCAGTACCTCCAAACAAGGGCTTAACATGCTGAGGAAGGTCCCATCAGTGCTGTCCAAAGTGTTTTCGAGGTCTAATGCCAATGTTCCCAAATCTTCCTCTCCCTCAGCTCCTGACAAGGACAAGCGCTAAAGCTTCTACACTTGAAATCAATAAGCATGCTGACCTTCCTCAAAAAAATAAAAACTTTTGAAGCACGACATTGTGTCCTGCACACTGATTGTATAAGTATTAGAAATAGGAGCAAAGAAAACACAAGGGCCACTGGAGGAAAGAAGGGTTTGATAAATGCTTTTGACAGGCATCTGCCAGCTGGCGTGGGACTCTAGCTCTGCTCTGGAGAGCCCTGCAGCCTTGCTGGGAGACAAGCAAAAGTGGGACAGCAAAAGACAATGTGGCAGCAGGGGTCTATGGGTTCAAAGAAGGGAGTCCTCCAAACACCTCTTTGATTGTGTTTAGCAGCTTAAAAATCACTTTCACCAATCACAAGTTCATTCAATGCTCTGAGTTCATTTAATGCTCAACACCCTGTGAGGTAGTTGCTACCGTTCTCATTTTGCAGGTGAAAAAAATTAAACCCCAGAATGCAAATGAAAATAACCGGAAGGTTACACAAAATACCTTTAAGTGAAGAAAAAAAAAAGAAAGAAAACAAAATGCAGTGTTGTCCGGAATGTCAGAAAAGAGTTACACTATTATGATAGAAAAGTGAAACAATCCAAGTGGGGGATTGGAAGCATATGATTAGGGGAAAATGCTGTAAGAGCCACTGAAAATGACAAGGACAGTGACAACAGAACCAGAAAGGCACATACGAAATAAGTTAAGTCACCACACAAAATAAGACGCACACAGTGAAACAGTCATGTGTCTCCCTTGGGGCTGACTAGGGAACCAAAGAACTTGGGGACTTAAATTAATGATCGTGGAGGCTTTTTTGTTGCTTGCCAATAAAATCATTTCTCTTGTAGAAATATTTTTTTAAAGATTTATTTATTTATGCATACAAGAACTGGTGTATAGGCCAGAGGTGTGGGTGGGGGGTGAGAGCATTCACCAGAGACAGAGCGGGGAGCAGAACAGGTAGATCCACTGAAATACACTGCTGAGGGGAGCAGCGGGCGAGTCAGGAGAGGTCTGCTGCGCCATGTGGGTAGCTTCCTGGCCGGGGATTGAACTCGTGCTGAAGTGGCTGCGGATAGCTTCATAGGATGTGTCTTAACCCCTTGCGCCACCAGGGAGGCCCTTTGTAGAAATATAATCATAATCATTACTGGCATCACTTCTGAAGCCAGTTCTGACCCTAAAGTAAGGGCAATGGAATATCAAATGCTTCCATTCCTTATGAGGCATGAGAAAAAGGAAAGCATTAGTTCAGACTTCTTTTTAATGGCTTTCTTAAAGAAGCTAGGTTATCTCAATCTTCCCCAAAGTTCTCTTCTAACTTCTAAACTGGCAAAAGATATGCCCAGTTTTGACTCATGTTTACTGTAGAGTGAAAAGTGATCAAATTGTTGACTGACGTTCACTATAGAACGTGTAGATTAGATATACAGTGACAACATCTACACATCTGTGTGACGAGTTATACTTTCTAGTGTCTTAATCAATATGTGTCATGGTTCCGCCCCTTTATAGGACCTGGCATATAATTTCAGTATTGTTGATGATTCATCTAGGGACTGACGTATCTTTGATGTCATACTATCGTCATGCTTAATTTATAGAATACTAAATGCTTATCTGGAATGTAAGTGTTGATTACTCCCAAGTGATCAGTATGACTGGCTCTTATCATCTGTTTTTCCACAGGATTTCCAGTAACACTCGCACTAGTCAGGAAGGAAGAACACTAGGTTAAAGCCTTCTAGTGCAAATAATCACACCCAAAATTATGTCTTCTAAGTTTACATTTTCAGATAAAAACAGGAAACATTTGACTTTCTTCTTTGGTCCTAACAGCACAGCTTGGTGCACTTTACGGCCCATTAGAACACCATTTAGAGGATGAGCGGGTTAATCTAGTCAAAGAATTTCAAAACATGTACAGAAGGGATGTCCTGAACCAGATAAGGGTTATCTCCAGCTTATGATGCAATGAATCCATAAGCTGCGAGGACAGATACTGTAAGGTACATGCCCTGGTGAGGTCAAGGAATCAGAAAGAGACAAGGAGACAAGCGTGTGAATCAGGCCACATGAAAGAAAGAGACTGACTGATAGACCAAAAACTAAAAAGTGTTCTCAATGAGCATTTCACTCAATGTGGCTGTTTAGCTGTGAGGTCACTGGGAAGTTGTCCACCAATGAATTCCTGCTGTTTTCCTTGAGGTGAGCCTAGGAAAAGGACATATAAACATGCATTGTTCCCAAAGAGCAACTAAAACTGATGTCTGGCTGATTGTCTCAGGCTGGGCCTCATGCAGGGTGCATGTGACCGCTAAGCTCTCCGACAGCAAGGCGCTTAAGTGACAGGCAACCACAGCTGCTGAGTTCTGAAATCCAACGCTGCAGCAGCTGAAATTCGCCATCACCACAGTTCCGCTGAAACCAGACTTCCCAAGGGTGGCTCCTGGCCAAAGACTGCGTGTGGGAGAAATACTGAGACAAGGCCTCCCTGGTGGCGCAAGGGGTTGGGTACAGCACTGTGGAGCTATCCGCAGCCTCTGCAGCACGGGTTCAATCCCCGGCTGGCCAGGAAACTACCCACATGTGCAGCAGACCTCTCCTGCCTCGCCTGCTGCTCCCCTCAGCAGTGTACTTCAGTCACTCTGCCTGTTCTGTTCCCCACTGTCTCTGGTGGATCCTCTCATCCCCCGCACTTCTGGCCTGTACCCCAGTTCTTGTGTGCATGGATAAATAAATCTTAAAAAAAAAATAAGATAGGGTTCTGGTTCTGCTTCAGTCCATTGCCTGGTGAGCAAAATGGACACAGGGGGCACAGATAGTCTCGGGCATGGGATGGCAGTGCAGCTGCTAAAGATTTTTCTTGTAATGACCTGGGAAAATTGGGAGGAACAGCCTTGCAGGTGGGGTGATTCAGACTTTTGAAAAATATGGGAGGAATACGAGCTACAAAGACAGTGGAGATGGCTGGATGCCATCGAGCTAATGCCCTACAGCAGGATGACAAATGGGTGACAGTTCATAAGTGGGGAAAGATTGAGAGCGTGAGGGCTTCTGAGGAGCTTACAAACAGGCCCTCATTTCCTGCAATGGAGAAACAAGCACAGCTGAGCAACGAAAAGATAAACTAGAATTGCAGAAGTCCAGGGAGATTAATTGCTCAATATTTAATAAATGACAGGTCAGCTTTGATGAAGTCAGTCACATGACTTCACGCGGCTGTAAAATCCCAGGGCCCTGAAACATGGGATGAAAACATCTGGTCAGACACCCCTACCCAGCCATCAGTTTGCAGAAGGGGCCACTCTTCCCTAAGTAAGAGCCAGCATGTTTGTGCTAGATCCTGGAGAGGCTTCTGCCCCCACAAAACAATCAGTGACCCCTCTAAGGAGCTGGTCCAGCCCCTCTCCTGCTACTAAGCTAATAACTAGAGTGACATCCCAGCATGACCTTGCTGGGGAAGTGCTGAGCCTAAAAAGAAGCATTCACCAAAGAGCTGGTAATAGAAGGGGAATAGACTTACTGTCATAATCATTTTGCTCTTAACATACAAATGTCAATTCATTATTTGAATGAAACTAACATAATGCTGTATGTCAATTACAAAAATTCTAAAGGATAGAGTTATGGCTTCTATCCTATCTTTGCACCTGTGGTCATATGGAGGTTCCCATGTGACCAGTTGAAGAAGCAGCTTAACCTTGGTTTACAAATGAGTCAGTTCCATATGTGGGTGCTAAGTGAAGATGGGTGGAATCTGCATTACACCCATGTTCATGGGTGAAGGAAAATCTTTCCAATGGGTGGAACCCCAAACAGTGTACTTGGTCATCCACTTGGTGTGGAATAGGCTGGAAGAGAAGAAATCCTATATGGGAGCATTTTCTCAAGATATAGGATTTAACCCTTTGGTCACAGCAAGTGAGATACTGAGGTGGCTCTTTGAGGTTAAGAGAACATGATGGCCAACACTGAGCAAAGTAGAAATGCCTCCTTTCTAAAGATCAGACCTACATCATAGTCTGAGAGCTTCCACGTATTCCTCCATCTCCCTTCCTGTTTCCCTTCCTAGGCATTTCCCCTCAAAAAATAAAAAAAATTCTCTGTGCATGTAACCAGGACCCAAACTAACACATTGGGCAAGCTAACTCAGTGCGCTATTAAAGCTCGGGTCCTCAGTTTTGCAGTCAGAAACACACGTTTAATAATTCAGCGGGAATAGTGAGGTCTTGTGAGCTAGTTCCTACTAAATGCAGAAGGGACTGGTTGATAAAATAAAGACAGGACTCAAAATGAGCAAGAACTGCCAAGCAGACCAGATGGATATGCAATGGAGCTGACAAAATGTTCCCATCTCAGCAAGAGCAGCTACTTGAAAAGCAGACGAAGCCCAGAAGTAGGCTGGTATGTCTGGAACATGAGAGGGAGCTGCTTAGTCAAAAGGTAGAATCAACCCAAATGTCCACCTACTGAGGAATTACGTAAACATACAATGGGATATTTTATAGTCATAAAAAATGAAATACTGATCCCCTGCAACATGATGAACCTCAAAAACAGGCTGCTAAGTGAAACAAACCAGACACAAAAGGCTATAAATCATATGATTTACTTAACTTATATAAAATGTCCAGAACAGTCAAATCCATAGAAAAGGGAAGCAGATTGGTTGTCGCCCAGAGAAGGAAAGGGTGTCATGTGGGGCTATTACAAGGTCTTAGGACTGGGAGGTGGTGGTTTTCAACACCGTGAACGTCCCCTTTAAATGGTTTATGTTAGGTGAATTTCACCTTCATACAAATAAATAAATAAATAAATCGCAAGGGGAAAATACAGGGACATGTACCAACCAATACAACAGAAAACAAAGATGTTTAAAATTTCATCAAAAGGTGAGCGTTGGAGCAAGGGTGTGGACTAATGTTAAGAATCATTATCACATTCACATCAAGCAGTGTGAATCCATGAAGTCACATTGTCCTGCTTCTCAGTTCTACCTTCAAACAGGAAAGGTCAACTCAAGAATTCTAAGCATCTAGCACAAAGACTAGAATTCGAGAATTGCCTAGGATTTTCCCCTTTCCTGCCCATTTTATCGTAAGTTGGGGTCTATAGGCTCAAAGGTCCTCTTATGAACCCAGATTTAGGACACATACTCTGATGGCACCAACTGTATTCCCAGGGACCTTGGATTATACTAAAAAAATTACAGGACCTCTGGCTGTTGAAACCGCAGCTATCTCAACAACTCCGATCTCTCGGAATTAAAAGAATTCAACCTCAAAGGCTGTACATATAAAAAAATAAAAACAGAACTAAACTTGTTTGCAATTTAGAAACAGTTCACTTCCAGTTCTACAGGCAGCAGAACAGGCTGCAACTTCAGTGATGCCTGCGATCTCGGTCACGGTCACGGTTGTGGTGGTCACGGTCGTGGTGGTCACGGTCGTGGAGGTCGCGGTCGTCGCGGTCGCGGTGGTCACGGTCGTGGCGGTCACGGTCGTGGCGGTCACGGTCATGGTCGTGGTGGTCACGGCCACGGTCGCGGTCACGGTGGTGGTGGTCGCGGTCGCGGTTCCGGTGGTCACGGTCACAATCGCGGTGGTCGCGGTCGCGGTGGTCACGGTCGCTGGGGTGAGAGGGCTCCCGCTCCCGGGAGCGCCGGGCCCCCTTATACCTGTGGGACTTATCGGGGCTCCTACTCCTACTTCTATGGCTCCGGCCCTCAGAACGCCCATCCTGCCGCCCGTCGTGCCGCCCGGAATGTGTGTCTAAGCTTCTACCTCTGTGCCTATCCCTGTTCTTCTCCTCTCTGTCCTCCCTCCTACTTGAGGACTTGTGTTCCTGCTTGGGCTTCTCCTTCTTCAGCGGCCTGTCTCGGTCCTCTGCCCCACTGCGACTCGCCCTGACTTCAGGGGAGCTGGGGTACTGCTTCTGCTCCTCCCTGGACTCTGACCTCTGCCCCTTCTCTGAGCTCTTACTCCCGTTCTTTTTAGAGCCAGACTCATCCTTTTCGGCTTTCCTCTTGCTGCTGGGCAGGGAGGAGGCTGGCTGCTCTTCCTGGGCCTCACGGGCAGGCTTCTCTTTGTCTTTCTTCTTTTTCTTTCTTTCCTTTTTGTCTGGAGAGAAAGGGGAGGGGGCAATAAGAAAAGGGAAATAGCTGCACCCACAAGTTTCTTTCTTCTCTAAACACATGCAACACTAGCCTCACACTTCAAAAGCGTTCATACCTTAGGAGGCAGAGGACACACACAAGACCAGCATCCTTGGTGGCAGCGTGCAGTCTTCCTGCGCCTCCGAGAAGTCAACGTTTGCCTCCCTAGATACATCAATTCCCACCCTTAATCTACGTAAGGCAATTCCCGCCCTTAATCACCTCTTTAAAGACCCTGTCTCCAAATAGTCACTTTCTGAGATATTGGGGGTAGGACTTCAACATAACTATTTGGGGGACACAACTCAGCCCACAACACTTAGCCTTCGGCTGATACCTCCCCTCCCCCAATTACAGTATCATCCCCACACTTCTCTTCTCCATTGAAAAACTGATCACTAACTCCTAATAATGTCAGGAAGAGCAACAAAGACTACCCAGAATCTTGCCTTGGGTCTTAACACTACCTTTTTTGTGTTTTTTTATGGGTTTGTCATCTTCAGAGTTCTCAGATGAACTTTCTGAGGGGATGGGAACCCCACAGCCCTTCGCCTGGAGTTGTCTGGTCACCTCATCCATTTCTTCTGAGTCCTTAGGAGGCCGATAGTTAGACACATGATCCACTCGGATAGTTCTGCCTTTGATCTAAGACAGAAAGGCAATGCTTCAGCAAAGACAGCCCACCTGTCAAACTATTTGGACCCAGCTGCAGAAAGCCCCATTTTTGAACCACACCCATGATCTTCCTAATTCTATTTCTGGGAGAAGCTCTAAAGCAGGCCTGCCCAACTGCTGTGTCATAGCACATATACCTACAGATGAATGTGCTGGGCCCTCAGGACAGCCAGGTGGACCTGGGGCAGCCAGAGCCCCAGGGGCAGCAGCTGACCTGGTGTTCCATACAAATATCTTCATATGCTAAGTCCTTTTTCACAGAGTGAAAAAAGCTGGCAAGTACAGCCCCAAAGCAAAAACAGCAGGGAAAATAACAAGAGTTTACATGCACAGGGCCCCCCTGGTGGCACAAAGGGTTAAGACACAACCTATGAACCTGTCTGCAGCCACTAAAGCGTTCAATCTCTGGCCAGGGAGAAACCCACATGGCACCGCAGACCTCTCCTGTCTCGCCCACTGCTCCCCTCAACAGTGTATTTCACTTAGTCTGCTTGTTCTGCTCCCACTCTGTCTCTGGTGAATCCTCTCACCTTCCACACCTCTGGCCTGTACTCCAGTTCTTACATGAATAAATAAATCTTAAAAAAAAAGAATTTACATGTACAATGAATTACCTTCAATCTGTAATGTTAATCTATAGTGAAACAACCCATGGGAAAGCCTGGCATCTAGAAGCAATTCCTGAAATTGAGCACAATGCCACAGCTGCTTTCTTGACACAGCAATTAGGGTGAAGCCAAAACAGACCAATAGTTGGGAGTGGGGAAAGAATTTAGAAAAGCTCCTTTTCTGAAGCCTGCCCACCTAGCTCTACCCCAGCACACTGCCAATGGCTCACACTGACACTTCTGCTGTGAATCACAAATCTCTGGGTACACAACAACTAAAACTGTTATCACTCACTTAAAGACTCTGTCATCCATTCTACTCTCCATTTCAAAACATTTCTGAAGACCTTCCTTTTGCAGTGACTCCCTTTGACTATTGACTACCTTAAACACCCAGCTAGCAACTTGCTCCACCCTGACCTATAGATTCCAGCTGTTCCATACTGGTGTATCAGGGACAAATTCTCTAAGTCAAGTCACTCCCAACCAGTGACAATGCTTGTTCAACTGCAGTGCTTGTCCTAAATGAGTGCAGGGACCATGTGGAGCAAATATAAACCTGACTTGCCCCATCCCCTTCTCTGAGTTCAGGGTCTCACATAAAAGGGTGGGGGGAAAGGGAACAGAGGGAAAACTTCAGAATGAGTGACTTTTGTAGCCTTTGTTATCAGAATATAAATGGAGAATTTCCATGCCCACTATATAGGTCAGTGGAGCCATATAACAGACACATGGCTATGTCCTAGGTCATGACACCATATGGAGCCCCCAATCGCTACATAGACCTGCATGGAGGAGCAGGTTTTTTGCAAGTCTCTTTGTTCTCCAAAACACCAGAGAGGAGAGTGGAGGGCGATGAGACAAAGGCGAGAAACAGAGGGATGACTATGGGGGACAAAAACAACAGATGCAGAAAAGAAACAAATGCTGGCAGGGTCATAAGGCAATGAAATTATTTCCTGGGGTAGTTTCCTGGCCAATGTGTTCCCACACCGCTGCAACTGATGCCCCACACCCAACTGACCAGAATTGTCCTTGAGCCTTGGGGATCAGAGAGAAAATGAAACAAAACCCCTGCACACAGAAACATCTAGCCAAATCCTGCTTAAGAAGGAAACTCACCTTGATCCCATTAAAATTATCAACGGCCAGAACTGTGCTCCTCTGGTCTTCATAGCAAAGGAAACCGAATCCTTTGGATTTCCCAGTCTTCTTATCCCGCACCAGATTAATGTTAACAACCTCCCCATATCTGTTTATTTTACAAAAGAAAGACAGTATTGATTTAGAATGCAAAAACTTTCAGACTGGATGGTAAAATAAATTCAAATAATGAGGTCTGTACAGGAGACAAATCTAACAAAGGATGACATAGAAAAGTTAAAAATACAAAGTCAGACAGGGATAGAGCAAGAAAGTAAAACAAAATTAGGGGGAAAAAAACACAGTGGCATACTATTTAGAACATAACTAAAATGAGAAGAATATATACCAAAACTTAGTGGGATGTGGTTAAAGACATACTCAGGAAAATCTGCAACCTCAAAGAATTTTATATTTAAAAAAGAAATAATGAATATAAAGGGAAGCAAATCTAAGGAAAACAGATGGGAGTTAAAGATAAAATCAGAAATTAACTTCTATCTCAGATAAAGTTAAAATTTCATAAAATAAAAAGTCATAAAAATAAAAAAGGAATTGATGGCTACATTATAACATGATCATACAAATACACCTGGAATCTAGCATCTTAATAAAAATACTGGAGAAGATTTAACTAAGGTCAGGAACTATTAACACTACCTGATATTGTATAGGTACTGGCAGTACAATTATGAGAAAAGAACTACAAGTATGGCCGATGGGATGGCCCAACCATCCCCTGCCTGGCAATTCTCTTCCAGGATATGCTGCCTGTATTTGCTCTCCGAACCCCTCTGCCTGTTCCTGTGTCCAACTTCTCTGCAATCAACCTCCGCCCATGAAGGCTACGCAGCCCAGGAACCGTGGCCCTCTGCTTTTGTGAGCTGCTGAGGTCCTCTTGCCCCATGGAGTAACCACTCTGCAGTTCTAGGGTTGTGCATAGCCCCTCCTCTCCTACCAGCTGCCCCTGCCGGCGTGAGCTTCCAAGACCCTCTCCCACCTGGCACTGTTGCCATCATCTCATAGGAGAATGAAGAATATAAGATTTTCCTATCCATCCTTCCTCTTCATCTGTGAGTCTCCGCCTCTAGGTGAAAAAACTATCTCTGCTCACTAACCTTATACTCATCCAGAAACAAAGAAAGTCTTGCAGCACTGGTGGATAGTGGTGAGCATGGCTGCCTTCCAAAGAGCACAAACTGCTATCTAAACTTTATCGTTTTTTAATTCTTCTGTGTTTTTTCCTAATCCTACAATGCTATACATGTGTGTGTTCAGAAGGGCTCTGTGATCATGGGTTACCCTAGATCGTAGGAGTCCAAAGAGAAAAGGCAACACAGTACTCTCCTGAGAGTTCTAATCAGTTCCAGTGTAAGTCCAGGCTCAACAGGCCACAGTAGAAAAGCAATAAAAACAGACCAGAATTCCCAAGACAACCTCCTAAGTCATCCAACTTCTAGGATTTTCTACATTGGGAGAGCTCTAGAGCTATGTCCTGGAATGGAGCTAGACTGAAGCAGGAGCTTTTACCCTCCCCATACAAGGATGCTTGTCCGCCTAGAATTAAAATCAATGGTTTTTGTGATGCCACATAATTTCTGAAAATGGCAAACTATTTAGAAGGCTCAGAAGACAGGAAATGAAATGGGGGACTTACTGTGAGAATACACAGATAATGTCCCCTTCAGTCAGTTCATAAGGAAGTCCTCCTAGAAGAGAAAAATCACATTTTAGCTTAACATTTACCAAGGCTGGTCTTCATAGAACTTGAAATCTCATGTGATGATAGAAGGACATATAAAGTATAGCAGTAGTATAGAAAGACAAATGATTAATTTGATTGGAAAGTGGTGGTTACCACTAACCAAACTGATCCTTCTCACACCCAAAATCTTATGGGCAAAACAGTTTCCTGGACAAAACTGCACTTCCACAAATATATCTTGAATTCATCTGCTCTTTACCCACATATCAAAACTGAGATACAAAATCAGTTTAAATATGCAAATATTAATCCTACTTCACAGAGACCAAGGAGTCTTTTTTTTTTTTTTAAGATTTATTTATTTATACAAGCACTGGGTACAGTCAGAAGCACGGGAGGGTGAGTGAATTCACCAGAGCCAGAGCAGGGAACAGAACAGGCAGACTGACGAAGTACACTGCTGAGGGGAGCAGCGGGCTTGGCAGGAGAGGTCTGCGCGCCATGTGGGACCCTCGCAGGTGAACCGGCGCTGCACAGGCTGCGGGCAGCCTCGCAGCCCAGCACTCAACCCCTGCGCCACAGGGGAGGCCCGAGACTAAGGATTCTAAAGACAACTGTAAAGCATTTTATAAGAAATAAATTCCCCACACATATGTCCTTCCTTATCTGTAATATGGGGATATTAGTATTTGCCTCACAGGACTGTCATTAATATTAAATAAAACTATGCATATAAAGTGCTTTGCAGTGTCTGGTATGATGGCCTCTTTAAACAGTCACGTGACTGGATATTTCACAAAGTGACTACAGAGATAGTAAAGTGGCCAGAAAGAAGACAGGAGCTAATGAGATGAGGAGAATGAATTCTGAGGGGAGGGAAAAGAGTGTGGTAGTCAGTAGTAATATAGACTAGTGTCTGAGACCATGAATCCTGTATTTCCATAGTTCTGGCTGTTTTCACTTACTAGCTCTGTGACCTTAAGGAAATCCAGTAACTTCTCCGCACCTCCCTTTCCCAGTCTCATAATGGATAAAGGGAGGGAAAGGGCATGATGACGGTCTCTGAGAAACCAAGTGGCAAGATTCTTAGCACCGTTAATGGCAGACATTAACTATCAGGAACGCTGATTTGACAGGGAGAGCAAACTAGAAATGATGGAGAAACAGAATATGGACAATGATTTTCGCAAGACAGCAAAAGGATTTGAAAGGGCGTGAAGAAAGTGGGGGAGAGAACGGGCAGGGACGCTGAAATGTCAGGAAGCAGGCCAGGGGAGGAGCTGAGGGGAGCTGAGGGGCCCTGAGGAAGACATTTATGTGGACCTCACCCAGGAAGATCCAAGCGCTGTCCTTGTACTCAGAGTGCCAGGACACCTTTTCCGCCACCCCAAGCTGTACTTCTCGCTCATTCAGCTCGTTGATCAACTTCACCTTAGTTAAAGGGCTGCACAGGGGGCGCAAAAGGGTATAAGTAAGTGCCGATCGGCCAGAGGTCGGGAAGCGCAAAGCTACGGTACTGGTTTCCTAGTCTCCGCGCGGCTCCCGCCCTCGGCCCGCAGACGCTCTACCACCCCAGCTCTGGTGGGCCACTCCCGGCGGTCCGCCCTTGGTTCCACAGAGAAGCTGAGGCCTTACTTCATTTTTCTCCAGTTCGCGCTCAACACCGAGGAATCAACTTCCGGGTGAAGCTGCGCGCGCACACGCTCAGCTGCGGCGCCGTGCGCCTTTGGCAGTCAGCGGAGTTCACGCAGCGCCGGAAGCGATCCCGCGCGTCGGAGCTTGGCGCCTGCGCACTAGCGCCACAAGCGGCTTTCCGCGCTAGGTAGGTCTCGTTCGAGTGCAGAGGTTTCTGCAACCGGTCTGTTTTTCCTTCTGTGAAATGAAGCAAGGGTATGAGCCTGGTCTGATACGGAATTCCCAGCTCCAGGAATAGGTCTGGCACTACTTGGGTCAGCTATATATGTTTACTGAATGAAGTCAGGGGAAAGAAGTACTAAAAAAAGCACCCTTCGCTCCCGGGGCGAAGCCCCACTCTCCCCCCCCCCCCCCCCCCCGCCTTCGAAACATGTCTGATTGAGAGTTACAGAAGGAAAGTGAAGATACGTGAAAGGGAAAATCCTTTGTTATCCTTTAAATCCCATTGCATAGTCTGCTGGTTGGTTTGACTCTCGGCTGAACTGAATACCCAGATCTGTGGGACATCTACTACACTCACCCTTCTCCTTCTCAAGGGGGAGGCAGAAACTAATATTGTTAAATAAATAGCTAACCGTTGGGCAGATAATGTACTAAACAGTACTAGATTATATGCTAAATAATTTGCGTGTATTGGCTATCCAGCTTCACAATGACCCATGTAGTAGATACAATTTCGTAGAGGAATAAACAGATTCGAAGGACTTCGTTAGCTTGAAAGGTATTCAGACCCTGCTGATTTCATCGGTTCTCTTTGAGCTTCCATAGTTGCCCTGTACAACTAGCCTGTAGACAGGAGTATACCGTTGGGTTCTCTGCTGGCAAGGAGCTAATAATATTGAGACAAGATGATGATGATGATATTATTATTATATTTCTACAATATAATATTACAATATCATTACAATCGGGTTATTAATAGGGTTAGAATGGATACATTCCACTCCAGGAATACTCAGGAACCAGAAGAAGAGTTGGTTGCATATAATAGGTGATATAAGCTATATTAAAGATTTGCTTTCTCTTGCATGTGTTCACATCAATAACTGATATTATAAGCATGAAGATCCACACCTGTGTAGTTCTCTGTGTAGGCCTAGCTCAGGATCCCAGAAATGAGGCCCTTCATAAGAGCATTTTGATGATGATGGTGATGAGGAATGTACCCAAAAGTGGCTCACCAGGACTCAATGTTCTGCCAAGAAATAAAACGCGCTGCCCACCAATGATAGTTTCTCTTCCTTCACTCTGTGCCCCGCCCCCACCTCACCCCAGCTACTCATTAACTTTGTAAAATTATCTTGGCAGTGAAAACTAAACAGTGACAGATTGTATACAGGTTTTATCTGCTCCTAGAAATCTTAGGTTGCTTAGTTGTAGGGTTGAAGTAGCCACTGCAAAGTGGTAAACTATCATGCAACATTCGTTATCTGGCTGGCTTCTTCAGGTGACTACGAAATGAGAGAGTTGGGGTATATCTAGGCCTTAGTCATCAAAATTCAGAAAGAAGCTGGAGCAAAAGAGGAGACTAAAACCAACTAAATGGAAGGACAATTTAACTTGAGAACATGAGAAGATGACTAGTATATAGCTGGTGGGTTCAGCAGAGATATATTCTGAAGCTGGAAGAGCTGAAAACCATCCCAGGTTTGCCCAGGACATCTCCACAGATGTGCTTGGAATTGGTTGGTAAGATGCTGCCTAGAGATTTACATAAGTCTGAGTGGGAAAGGCATAGGGATTCAAAGGATCATCTGAACTTAACGTCTGAGAGGAGGACCAAGGTTTGCTGTCCAATGTAGCTGTTAGTGATCTCCACCAGTAACATACACTTAGCACACAATGTATGCAGAACTCAGTTCTAGGTTCTCTGGGCAATGCTAAGGAAGCTGGTGGCCGTCTGCACATTTAAGGAAAGACCAGACAGTTTGTCTAGCCAACATTATCTCTCCACTTCTCACCACCATACCACATCCAAAATCAGCTTTACCTCCTGACGTCCCTATTCAAAGTTAACACTGTTTTCCTGGCTGCCCAGATTCAAAAACTGGGTGGAATATTCTTGTCTTCCCCAGTCCTCACCCAAAGATATGTAGCCAGTCACCAAGTCCTAATAATTGTGTCATTGCAGTGTCTATAAAATGCATCTTGTCCAGTCGGTCCTTTCCTAGTCATTAGCACATGCTTCCTAGCTCTTCTGTACTTTCATATCTGCCCCAGCACCCATTTGGCAGTTTTTCTCCCACTGTTCCCCAATATGAAGGCACAATTTCAGCGAAGCTCCATTTCTATCCATTTCATCTAGGACCCCTTTTATTATCCAACTTTGATACTCTTGGACCACTCTTCTCTCTCTGATTGAAACCTTCCCAAGCTCTGAACTCCCATCAAGGGATCTCTCATGTAAGAAACTTCCTGACCTCATCAGTCCACAGTGATAGTTCCCACTTCTGAACCCTTTTTTTTTTTTTTTTGCACATTCATTCCCTATTGATGTTAAAACAAATTTGCAGATTTAGTGGCTTAAAACAACACAAATGTATTATCTCACAGTTCTCAAGATCAGAAGTTTAAGGCCAGATTCACTGGACTGAAGCTAACGAGTCAGCAGGCCTGGTTCCTTTGGGATCCTCTGGAGAGAATCCATTTCCTTGCCTTTCCCAGCTTCCTGAGGCCTCTTGCCATCTTTGACTTTGAACCCCTTCTTTGCTTCATTCCAATCTCTTGCTTCCATTGTCACATCCCCTAATACTGCTCACTCTGATCCCCTGCCTCCCTCTTGTAAAGGACTCGTGATTGTAACAATGGACCCACTTGGAAAATCCAGAATAATTTTCCCACCCCAAGAGCCTTAATTATACCTCCAAAGTCCCTTTTGTCATGTAAGGCAACACATTCATTATTTCAGGGATTAGGACATGGACATCTTTGAGGTAACATTATTCACCCTACCATAGCCAGTTCCACAACATGGAATTGCAAAAAAGCCCTTGGACCAGCAGTGAGAACTGGATTCCAATCCCAGCTCTGCCACTCCTTCCTAGTTGGGTAGCACTGTACAGGCCCCTTCAGCTCTCCAAGACTAAGTTTCTTCACTTGGAAATTGGTGGAAACAATGTCCCTGGCCCACCACCTCTAGGGGCGTCACAAGGAGGCAGGCAAGCACAACCCCAGCTCCTGAGGCCAGCTGCTAAGCGACTGAAATCAGCCTCCTAATGGATGTGCCAAAGAAGTGCTGTCAGGTTGGTAACAGGCAGCCAGCCACCACTCCACAGACGTTCTGCTCCCCTGTGGGGAGGCATCTGCCAAAGACCCTCTCAGACTGTCAAAACATCCTGAAAATAATATTTGCCTTCAAATCTGCAACTTGCTCTCCGCTCACTTAAAACACTAACCTTTCCCATTTGTGCTCTCACCTGAACTGAGTAAATAAGCTTCTAACAGCTCTTCTGCCCACCCCTCTCTCCTTGGTATCTAAGATGGACAAAGCAAAAGGTCACTTCTAATGGACCTAAGCAAACGGAGATACCACCCGAAGCAGGAGCGACCAACCCAGCTGCTCTCCCCAGGCTCTCTCGCCTGACTCAGCAACACTGCTGCTCCATGGCTTAGCCCAGACAAGTCCTAACCCTGGAAAATGGAAAATTCCACAAACCATTAGAGCAGACACCTTCCAGAAAGCAGCCTCCCTCCTTGTCTCTTATCCCAGAGGTAGCTCAGGTCTGCAGGCTCAAGTAAAGCAGGCACAGGGCAGGAAGAACATGAGAGACTGTGATGATGTCTCACGGGTGACTTGGTGGTGGGAATTTTACGGGGACTATACCTGAGAGGAGAAATCAGACATTGTACAAAAATGAACAATGATGTAAAATATATATATAAATAATTTTTTTTTTTAAAAAAAGCAAGGCAATAGCCGCTCCTCACAACCAGAGACATGCCCGGGCATGATGCAGAACAAGGTTTCAATGCACATGTTCCGCAGACAGCAGCATTACACCAGGGACAGAGCTCTGTTCTGAGATGAATGATAGCTATTCATTCTCTGCTTTGTTTTTCCTGCCCTTCTGACTCCTCAGCAAAGTGAGCTTTAAGGGAAATGAATAGGAGAATGGCACACCATATTTGAGAGAATTAGAATCAGAGGTGCCCGGAAGCAAAAAGTAAGAACTAGTCTGAATATGTGCTAACTCCCCTGAAATTCGGCTGGGCCCTGAACTAGCTGGCATGCCCTCATGTCCCACTTCAACTGATTATGATCATCTTGCTTGACTAAAAGCAGTTATAGGACCTCCCTCGTGGCCTAAGGGTTAAGTCTCAGCACTATCACTGCTATGCCCTGAGTTTGATCCCCAGCCAGGGAACTAACCCACATATGGCTCAGCAAACCTCTCCTGTCTCACCTGCTGCTCCCCTCAGCAGTGTATTTCAGAAAATCCACCTATTCTGCTCCCTACTCCATCTCTGGTGAATCCTCTCAGCCTCCACACCCAGTTCTTCTATGAAAAAAAAAAAAAAGCAGTCATAATAGTAACTAAGTTAGGTTAAAACACTAACCTTTCCAATTTGTGCCCTCACCTGAAATGAGTAAATAACCTGTTAGAAGCTTAGTGTTAGAATTTAGGTTAGTGTTAGAATTTCTTATTAAGCAAATTATAAATCAACCTGAGTTATTAAGCTAGTACTACAGGCTTAGGAAGAAAAGAAGTGGAAATTTAATATCAAACTATAGAGGAAGGAGAAGTGTGATTATAGTCAGTGATATCTCCTGTCAGACAGGAGACCCGCCCCGGTCCCTCCCAACAGAGTTCTCAAACCTCAGTGCAGGCAGAGAGCCTGGTGTGACAGTGTGCACGGGTACTTGACAGTTGTCTAGTGACTTGCTTGTTGCAGGGGGAGGGACCAGCTTTGGGCCCAGGGGGAGGTCTGCCCAGGGATTGCTGCCTTCAAAGCTGGAGAGGCAAGAGGCTGGGGAGTGAAAAAGACGGGATCCCCAGGGTGGCAAGCTGCCAGTC